CTCCTGGGACAGTCTGTACTCATCACATACACACACACACAGACAGACAGACACAAACAAACACACACACGGTCAGGCTGCCCTCCACCAGTTCCTCTCACCTGCACATGTTAAACACACACCAGTGCTGTGGGTGTAAATGATGCATTACGGTCGCTCTGGCAGCGAGCCGCAGAAGAAGAAGGGAAACCTGCAGGAAGACAACAAGCTCTCTTCCTCCCACTGACGAACACAAGAATGCATCCATCAAACGCTCGTACTAGCTGGATAATGCTCCTGCTGCATTGCTCGCTTCAGTCACTAAATGGGTCGGGGGGTGGTCCACGTGCTGCCTTGCAGTCTCCAAAGTGCACACTGAACCTGTCAGTCCCTCGGTATCTGTGCCAGTGACGTGCGGTCACTGGAGGCAGTGCCTCCCCTTGTGTCATTATGGAATGTGAAAAGGAAAGATTTAAAATAAATATATATATATATATATATATATATATATATATATAACATTTGTCAACTGATGATAGAAGTGTAATTATTAAATTCCAATCAATCCCATGATTGTTATAGTCAAAATCGAAATGCATTTGTGTATTTTCCTTTTCAAATACGGGGAGGCGGCAGCGACGAACTGCGCCCTCCTCTCGGATTGCGCAATCCCTCATAAACCCGGTTGAGCTGCTCATGTTTTTGCTCATATTTCAGCATGTGCAATTAATGGCTCTATATGTCACCAATGTAATGTTTGTACACAGTTTTATCACATGTCCTCCCATCCCATAGTCTGGGTCCTGTATTTCACGTATGTTAAGTCTTTCTAATCTGACATACCAAAGACGACTTTCACCCCGACTGTTGAAACTAAAAAGTGAAAACAGGACTTTTCACCAAAAGTCATAGAGATGTTTTTCCCGAAGGATAGGCAAATTTAATGTAATTTATAAGTAAAGGTAAGAGCATGCACACACTGCTGTACACAACAAAAATAAAAGACTAGCCCTATTTCCAATAATTTTTTAAAACATGAAAGAACATTTAAGCCATACGGTACAAGAGGCTGTACTTTATCGTCAATAATGCACTGTTCAAGGGTGTTGTTGGCAAACCGTATTGCTTTAGGTTGTCCGCGACATTATTAGTAAGTAAATAGTTGCCTTTCAGCACAAAACAAGTTGTATCCACCAAACGTTGTGTGTGGCATTTGAGCAGCCTACAGAAAATCCCCGTACCTGGCTGTTACTATGCAACAGACTAATAACATCGGGAACTTGGGAACACATTTGTTAGCCTAGCACCAGAAGTTGGTTGATGATTAGCATTAGCATTAGGGCTGTTTTTTGGCGATCGCCACCGAGCTAAAACGTAAAACGGTAAAACGGTCGTGCAAAATCTAACGGTTAGTTTGATCACCGCACTGATATGAACGCTCAGGTCAATGTAAACAGGTAACATTACATTATGGCTCAATTCAGTACACTCCGTGACTCACTCTCAACCAATCAGAACGCTTGATTTCATCTCCCCGTATTATGAAAGAATATACGATACGGAATATGAAACATAACCAGTAGTTGAAGTGCAAGCAGCCAGTTGAATGGTGAATTTATGCTACTTTGTTGAGTTCAAATATTTGTGAATGTGACTTTGAAAGAGTCAGTGCCTCCCCAGCCACGATCCTCACCGCACGTCACTGCTCTGGGCTGGTTCTACTGAGCTCTGAGTCTATGGAAATACCTCCCCATCTTACCCGTTATATCCATTCCTATTATATTTAATGATGCTGGATTACCAAAGGCTGTTGGACTAGTGAAGGGTTAAGATGAGGCCTGTACATTTTGTCCATTTAGTGGCAATTTCTTTTTTATAAATCCATTTTAAATAAAACATTTGAAGCTGTGTAGGAAGAGGGTTGTGCAGAGACAAGGATGTGGAAGAGCACAGAGTACAGTAAGGCCTCCTGACAGACACTTTAGATCAGCTTCACTGTGTTCGCTCGTCTGCCTGTGTGTGTGTGTGTGTGTGTGTATGTGTACTTGGTCCTGCCTGAGCACATGTGAATGCCCACCATCAGATGCATGTAGGGGACATAGAGACATAGTACAGACATGTGAGTATGTACACACACACACACGGACCCATCCCCCTCAGAGACTATGTCCTCACATGACGTAATGAGGATGGAAATAGACGGAGGGTACTAAGAGTGCTAGCTGTATTTAACCACTGTTAAAAAGCAGCAATATCACCAAGATCCTCAGGCTTTTTGACAGGGAGCATAAGGAGTTGATCTGTAACAAAGGATTAGGCTTTGCTCGACTCAACATGACGAGCCAACGGATGAAGGGACGTCCTTCTCCAGTAGGCTGTGGTGGCGGCCTGCTAATCAATTGGTAGGCCCGCCCAAAAGCATACTGCTTTCTGGTCTATTTCACCCTAAATGGACCACCATTTACTAAATGAACATACTGCTGCTTTGAAGAAGACTTGAAGCTACAGATTGAGACCATAAACCCTCAGGGACTAACAGACTGGTTGAGTGTGAGAGTCTGTGGGGGTTTGAATTTGTGTAAATATGAATGGGACAGCACGTTGCAGCCACATGTCACGCCACCGTGACAACTTCAACGTCTTACAGCCTTTTCCCTCATAAGATGAGAGGTCATTCTAAATAATGTTTTACTGTTTTTCATAAAAATAGCTTAAATATACTAAATATTTGATGAATAATATAGCAATACACGCAGACACACACACACATAATATATATATATATATATATATTGATTCCAAAACGACAATTCATGTATTACTACAGGTTACTTTGAATCGTAAAACCAGTTAAGCTAATGTCAAAAGTATCCAAATGGTCAACCAGAAAAGTACTGGTGAATTTAAATAATTGTTTTTTAAGTCCATTCATTTTTTAGTCCATTCGTCATCCGTTTTTTAGTCCATTGCGCCAAAAGGCCAACTACTTGCTGCTTTTAAAAGACATGTTGTTTTTAACAATATTGTTGAGATATATCTCAGTACAATATTTTGCTATTTTGCTTTTGTTGTTGACTTTTTGTCAAACAAAGAAAAACATCACTTTCAGCAATTTGGTATATTGTTCGAAACTGAACAATAAAACAATTGCCTACAACCGTGTTGGATCAAACCACTGGTGTGCTGTCACCAGACAGACTCTGGACTTTAACAGACTTGATTAATTTCATCAATGAGTCCCAGCTGGTCACCTCTTCACGTGTTACATCAGAGCGGCGGATTGAAAGACGTTATTTACGCCCTGATAAAAGAACAATAATTAAAGCCTACTGAATTCTCATATTGCTGGAGCAGATTCTTGGTCCTGTTTTTGTTCTTTCATCCTTACTGTGGTGTCATCCAGTGGCAGTATCTAGAACGACAGGGATGTAATGCTCAGGTTTACTCTTTAAAAGGAGCATCACATCCCATCCTCTTTGGGGTCATCAATTCCTTTAAGATGCACGTCTTTGGACAGTGGGAGGAAGCTGGAGAATCCAGAAAACCAAACCAGGAATCAAAGCCCCTCTTTCTGCGAGACACTACACCTCAGCGCAGCCAGATGAGACTTGCACTTACAGAAAGTCGGTGGTAGTGCAGAGACAGTTTTAAACAAATATAGTAGAAATCCATCTAACAGAGGCCAATAGTTTCTGACCTTTAGGCCTCAATGTGGGTCATGCACTCTGTATAACTCACCTTCCGCGATGCAGCTCAATAAGTTATTTTTGCCGCCACCGCAAAGCCAGGGGAGTAAGCTTTTTTTTTTATAAAGTCTTCGTTCCCGCCATCCAACGCACCTTCTCTGCGACACGAAGGTGACTTAACAGAGCTCCACATCACACGATACAAGACGGAAAGTATGCAGGAGGGACACTTTCTGTGACAGGTAAAATGTGCCTGATTGTCCCATTTATAATTTTTTATTAATGATGGTTAATGTAAACACATACGCCATGTCCCCAAGATACCCCCCCCCCATGACCAAGTGCAGCACACACCGCGATGCTGCTGTTTCTTTCACACCAGGAGCAGTGGAAGAAGGGCTTTGTAGGAGGGACGACAAGAAGCTCATCCCTCCGCAATAAAGGCACGTTTACAGTCCATGCATGTATCGTTTGAGCAGATGATGTACCATTGAAGACTCCTAAACCTAAATTAACATTAAACGTCTGTTCGGCTGCAGTGAAAAGAGCACCTTGGTTTCTCCTATTTCTAGACCTTTAAGGTCCAGGGGGGCAGTAGCCCCTAACGTTGGCTTATTTGTGACATTTACCACACATTCAATTCGCTTTGTGTCCACAGTGGACACACGTCGACATATGGTCCACACCGCGATGCTGTTTACCGAAGCGACTGGTTCAGTCAGCGGCTCGGGGCGGGAATATGGGGGTGGGAGGCTGGGTCCTTTGTCCCTCTGCAGACCCCTTCCTCCCCCCGGCAGCATGACAGCAGCGCCCCCCCCCCCCCCCCTCGCTTAATCTTCTATCAATACGCGTTGTGTGGTTCGTCGTGTTTGCGGGATGCGGTTAGCTAAACAAAAGCACGAGGCACGAACAGATAAGCGCCGATAAGTTCCTCGTGGAACGAGGCGGCGCGCGCGGTCCGTCCTGATGACGCCACAAAGCACCGGAGACACGCGCGCTCTGCGCCGGCTACTGTCAGTCCGCGTGCCCTCAGATAGCGTGCGCTGTTTGGGCTTCTTGTTGAACCAAACGGCGTAGCGCCACAGCCGCAACGACACAAAGCACTTTGTCGGTGTGGCGCTACTTTCTCCGGCTAGAGAAACACGCTTTTCTTTTAGGGAAACCCACTGAAGCACAACGCGGCTTTAACACACCTGCGCGGCAGGTAGACAACACAACGTGTGAGCAGACACACTACTGTGTACTACGACACAAACAGGTGAGAGTCCCAGGCAGACCGTCGGGTCCCGTAGTAGCGCGCGATGGTCGCTCGGTATCAACACCGGGACCACTTACCGTGTTTTTCCTGCTCGTCGTGCGTTCGATTCCTCAGGAATAAGAGTGAGTCCGCATTGTGTTATTCCCACAGCCCCTCGACCGCCACAAGCGCTGCTTTCAACGGACCGTGGGCATCAGTCGGTGTGTGGCGGATGGGTCTCCCGTGTGTGTGTATGTGTGTGTGTGTGTGTGTGAGATGATGAAACGCCTTTTCTCCTCTAGGAGCTGCATTGTTGACATTGGCTTCCTGACGTCATGCCGGCCCCCATTCACAACAACGGCCAAGCCCCCCTCTGCTATGGAGACGGAGCCCCCCCCGCCTTGGTTTCGCGTACTGAGACTGTACACGTCATTAAAGTACGGAAGATTATTGTTTTTTATTAAAGCTTTTTTGGTCTGCTCAATAACATTTCAGTAAATAATTTAATAATTTAATTTACAATTTCCCGAAACCCAAATGGATTCATATGTCTTGAATCGATGAAGTCCACAAACATGAGATATTCTTACCAATTAAAAGTAAAAAAAAAAAACAATGTTTGGAAATTTTTCTTGAAAACTGATATAAACAATGAATAAATCAAAAGTTTCCTGACTACGTACTGACTAATAAATTAATTGAAGCCACGTTTTGCTGGATTAAAGCAGTTAACTTAATATTCAGAGGAGTTTTGAGATGCCTCAAGAGCAGCCAGCCAGAAAATCCTGGAATAGAAAGCACTTCAAGGTTTCGGACCACAACGCTGTTCTGCTCTTTCCACACACGCTCCGCAGAACATAGACATTCACCTGAGAAGTCATATGTGAAAACGTGTCTGAATCATTGGGACAGACTTTACCCCAGTGCACAAGTCCACATCACTAACAATGAGATGTTCCTGAAGTAGTGCACAAAACAGCAAGAATGCAAACGCCTGAGGGTGAAGAAGGGTCCGATACAAGAAGAGCAGGCATGCAGGTGGGTCACTACTCACCGGTTAGCAGGGGGCTGCACCACAGCATTTTACCAACTACGGAAACTGGGACTTTTTCCCGCACACCGGCACTTTGACACCGTCACACCTTCCACTGTAGTAGGTGAAAGGTCAGATAACATAGATGCTTGATAAGGGAGTCTACGTTTATTATGACCATGAAGGTCTGTGTTCAGGATATCGGGCTGTCGATCACTTTTCTGTCCCGAGGACAGTTTCTGGACTAACATTGGGTCGGATAATTGCGAGGCACCTGAATAACTGCATTCTTTATTGTTTTTAGGGAATTACAATCACGGTTTTAACTTGGCACATGTTGGAAGTGGAAGGTTAAACAAAAATGAAATAAAACTGCTTGGTTAGTTTTCAATTAAAGCATCTTGGTTTTACATAGCGCTCCACAAAATATCGTCTAACTCAAAACCAATCCCTGAGGCAAAAAAAGTTGGGGACCGCTAAATTAAAATGAGTTTTCACACTAGGATGGTCCTGTGTTTGTTTGACCCTTCCATCCACTCCCATGGACTTTTATTATAAACATATTGATGACACGCACAAACCAAATTTAGTTTGGGAGAAAGTATAGGTTGTGCACTGGAGATTTGGATGTCTGTCACTTTTTTCTGGGTCAGCGTACCACTTCGGTCCAGACTGAAATATCCCTGCAGCTTTTGGATGGATTGCCACTAGGTATTGTGCCGTCATTCATGGTCTGGTAAGCATAAAACCTAAGCATAAAAACACTAATCTAAGATGTTGAACATGGTAAAGACGGTTTGCTTACTAACAGGTCTTAAGAAAGCTCCATAAAAAATAAGTGCTAATAATCATATATTCCCAGATCCACAATAGACAGGAAAGATTTCAGAATAAAATAGGAGACGCAGAGACACTGATCATTCTTAAAAATAGTCCTTTAATAGGTAACTTTGGGTAAAGGGAATGGGGTTCAAACACAAAGGGTTCCTCCCCGTCAGGGTCTCTGGTGCCTGTGTGGACAGAACAGATGAGTCTTTAATGTTACCTCCGGTTTGATCTTGCCCCTCGTTGTCTTCTTCCGTCTTCTCCCCTGTCAATATATGTTCGTCTGATCTGGGTGTTGGGCTGCAGGTGTGCCCGATGCCATATATTACACACCCTGTATCTCTCCCAAACTGAACACAGATCCGCCCCCTGGTTCACAACAGTTCAAATTTCTTATTTTCTCTGACATCATAAAAAAGCAGTGTTCAGAGTAAGGAATCGAAAAAAGATTAAAATCCAACCGTAAGAGAGAGAGAGAGAAATCATGTTGACTGAAGTAATTCCCGATGGAATTGAATGTGTTTGAAGGTTCGCAGTGTGCCGAGGCCGGTCTGAACAGGACACTCTGCGGTTTCTAATACTGCCTGTGATCCGGCGGGAGCTGGCAGAGCTGCATTTTATCAGTTTGCCACAGCCAGGCACCTCTTGGGCCTCATTCGGAGCGGCTGGATTCAGATCAGCCCACATTCTCAATGTCAAGTTGTTATAAATAGCCAGAACTGATTTGTACAGCTCCGCTGGCAGCCAACATCAGCTCAGTGGGGGAGACGAGACGTTCTCTGGGAGGGATCCAATGCTGATCGGGTTGGTATGACAAAGAAAAAGAGGGCTAGCTGGTGGCTTGAAGAAGCCCACGTACACATCCCAGGTGGTTTGTGATGTTTGCATTCAGATAGAAATAAGTGGACTTGTATTACTATAAAATACTTCAAAATGTTGGCAGTTCATCACCTCAACTTTTACTACAAGATGCTCAATGTATTCTTCTTCCTTGATAAAACATTGTGAGTCTATATTACCCACAATGCAACTCAACAGCTCACGTTTGGATTCTTTCATACACGCAAGGCCTTCTTTTATTGAAAATCCGCTTGTTTTTTTCTCTAGGAGCGGCTGCTCTTCGCTAGATTACGTTGCCCGTTGGTGAATTCATCGAACAAAAAAATGATATGGACAAAAAAAAAAAAAAAACCTGTTGTACCATTAAAACAGAGGGTACTGGGTTCAAATTCAGTCAAACCTACCATCCAGGCGCTCTCCCCCTCTGTGTGTGTGTGCGCGTTGTGTTGATGTGTGCGAGAGAGACCAAATCACTGCAGAGCATGTCAGGCTGTTGTTGAAGGGAGTACTGGGATCTATAAAAACCTCTGCATCGCTATGGAAACTGAAGCCCTTCCATTCAGATGGATTCATTCCCTCACTTAGAGCACACACACCTCCAGAGAGAAGCTCTTAACATCAATAACCTGCTGACGATGAGGAGGGATTCTGGGAAAGATCATTTCACCACCCTCAAATCAGAGCAACACTCAAATTGTTGCATCTACTTAAACGGTCTGAGCATGAAATCAGGGAAAGAAAACTGGGTTGTTAGTGAATGTATTTGGTATAGATATCTATAGCAGTCCATCACGGTCGAATTGCTGCATTTTCAGCAGCACGCCGCTGGCTCGAGTCCTTCCAGCTCACTCACCAGGGTAAAAAGAAATTTATGTGTGTCTCCACAGTCCTCAGAGTCGCTGGATCTTCACAGTGAGACGCAGGGCGTCAGGTTCGTGTTATAAGGGGAGGGGGGGGGGGGGGGGGGGGGGGGGGGCACCGAGAGGAGGGCAAGTGGCTGCAGATGAGCCTTTATACATTAGGTACATTTGTTATGTCACATTGTGTTGCCGCAACATGGTGTTTTGTTGTCACAACGCGAACCATGCGGCATGTTTTGGTCCAGAAACGTTAACATTCAACATATCCAACTCTAAATTCTTCTCTTCTGTGAGAGCAGGGTTAGCGGCAGGAAGCAGTGTTCCCAATGAAGACAAACAACTTTGCTTTTACTCTCTAAAAGCATATAATTGCAGTATGTACACAAATCACAGGAAACATGTTTTATAAAATAAGCTGGGATGAAATAAATGAACCGTAGAATAACAATCCCTGCGCAGCGTCTGAGGAGATGCAGAAAAAACAGCAATTCATCCCAGAGTACCCCGCTGTCATAGAAACCACCCAAAATAAGTGCAGTGCAGAACAATGTTAATATAATTCTGTGAAATACAAATGTGGGTAAAAAGGGAACTAAAGAAAACACAATTAAACAGATGTATAGAGAAGTCTTCCAGGTTCATTATTCCACAGTTATTTCCATTTCAAACAAAGCTCTTCTTTTGCTCCAAGGCAGCCGGCTCTGAAGCTCAACTCCTTCAGTTACGTCTCGTATTCACAGTCAAACCGGTGTTAAAAGGATACGGCGCACACCATAAGTGCGTCTTTTCACAATTCCCAATACAATAGGTGTGTATATACCGAATATATAAAAAGGTACGAATTTACAAATTACAATCGTAGTTACTTTTAAAACTGAAAAAATAAAAGAACAGTCAAATAAAACTGAAAAAAGACCAAGTCACTTCCAGGTGCGATTCAGAGTCCAAGTGCACGTGAATCTCCTCGGTCATCAGTACCAACGTGAAATACTGACTGTAAAGGCCGACCCACCTGTCTACACAAGGGACACGGTGGTTACTATTTATCTGAATACCTTGATAACAAACAGGTGCTCAGATTTGTTTTTAAGTCAAACTGAAATTATTTGTTCAACAAAACCGTTCGCTTTGGTCAAAAACGTAACTACAAAAAAGAAGAACCACCTATTTCTAGTGGTGCTCTCCAGTGTGATGGAGCTGGGCACTGATGAGGTTTGGGATGGGTTCTGGACCGATCCGCCTCTTCCCAACCCCCCGCTCTCCTGACACATCGCTTTGCAGTGAGTCACATGCGTGTATTTTCTCAGCATAATGGGCTTTCCCAACATTAAGGCCGGTTCATGGAGTGATTCCTCTCATCCGCGGGAGAAGGAGCCAGTCGGGTGGAGGCGGTGGAGCGCGTGTACTAGCTGTGGTGCTGGTTCTGACTCTTGATCAGGCTCAGCTTGCTCCTCAGGCCCTGGCAGCTGGCAGACAAGCTGCTGTTGTCCTCCAGCAGCTTGCTGTGCTCCTGGATCAGTCGACATGAGGTGTGCTGCTCCCTCTGGTCCTGCTCCAGCTCCGACATGAGCGCCTCTCTAAGGAAAAGCAAAGAGAGTCATCGATATCCACCAATAATCATCGATTAAACGTGAGCTCAGGATCTCGAGGTAGAGGAAAGGTAAATTAGCTAAGATTATCTTAGCATCTAAAAATGACAAATTAATCCACCTCCACTCACATTGGGTGTCCTTGGGAGAGCTACCTGATGGTTTAACCCAACTTCCAGTCTTTATGCTAAGCTAGGCTAACAACATCCTGCCTTAGATTGACAAATATTCTCATCTCACTCTGAGAAACAACAAAAAATAAACCAATTTCAATTAGAAGTTGGTCCTTTCAGGCATGAAAACGGGTCAAGGGTGAAAAAGGTTAGCTAGGATTAGCTTAGCATCTAAAAATGACAAATTAATCCACCTCCACTCACATTGGGTGTCCTTGGGAGAGCTACCTGATGGTTTAACCCAACTTCCAGTCTTTATGCTAAGCTAGGCTAACAACATCCTGCCTTAGATTGACAAATATTCTCATCTCACTCTGAGAAACAACAAAAAATAAACCAATTTCAATTAGCAGTTGGTCCTTTCAGGCATGAAAACGGGTCAAGGGTGAAAAAGGTGAGAAGGATATTACCCCTCTAGGGCAGGGGTTTTCAACTGGTTTGTGCCAGTGATCCTTTTCTGCGTACCGACGAGGGGGGGGAATTGACAACAACTAATATGGGACAAGTCATTAAATACTCGTCATGCATTATATTGCATTGCATATCATGTGTGCTGGTCAACTATTTTTGCGTAGTTTAGAGTGACAAATCGTACCAGCGTACTTTGAACAGGTTGGCAGGTCTGCTTATTGATGGAACGGTGGACCACTGGACCTTCTGCCTTGTCAGTCCCCTCACCTCAAAATCTACCTCCTCAAAAACGGTAGCGTTACCTACCGGAGCTTTAGCTAGCTGGCCAACGTCGCCACGTCTCTCCCTCCTGCTGTGTTAAATGACTCAACTCATCAAGCTGTAGCTAACGACTTAAAAAGTCTATGTCAAAGTCTATGTCAACAAAGCTCCTGGGGTAACTTAACTTAGATATACCAGAAAATATTAAAATGATTGAAACCATCACTCACCCTGTTCTCAGTCACTGACACGCGCACTGTTCCGCAGTTCACTGATATGAATCCCCCCCCCCCCCAAAAAAACGTAGGTCACATATTTTGGTTTCAAAACGGCGAATTTCGCCGAAAGGTGAGGGATTTTCATGCCTGTCCTTTACATAGAAAATGACAATCAGAAAAATCTGTGTCATCCCTGTGATTGACCAGTCCACCATGTCCTCCGTCTCCCGCCCACAACCCTTTAAGGATAAGTGGTATAGAAGGTGACTGACTGACAATTAGAAGGGAGCAGACATCTTCGACAATGTCTCATGTCCTCCAGAATGTTGACTTGATCATTTTACATAAACTGGGTCATGATGGATATGGCCGTTCTGGGTCAGCATGTTGTGAACTCTCAGGTGTCTTCCGTTATCTAACCCACTGTAAACTTGCTGCACTGCTGCCTACTTATTCAATGTGCTTTTTGGTCACACCGACTTCCACACCAATGTCACATGACCCGCCAGGTGACTCGCTGATTGGACCGTTGCTGTATGGTCACTATGTTTCACTCACTTTTTTTATAAGAAACTGTTCATTGACTTAATTATTAAACTATTATTTAGAAAAACAATACAATAGACAATAGCAAACAGCATGCGAGTGGACTTACTTTCTCCGAGCGAGGTCAGCGATCTCTGACTGGACTTTAAGGTAGTCCTGAGCCATCCTGATGTGCTGCTCAAACACGGCCATGGACTCTTTGGAGTTGGGACACGGGGCCAGAGGCTGGAAGAAGAAGAATCAGTGACTCCTTTTTCTCATTCAGTGGGAAAGGTGATGATCATTCTGAAGTTCATTATCGGTATTAGAAAATATGGAGTAGTAGAGTAGTTTAAACAGTATTTAAGTCCATCATGCTGTGTTTGGAGTCACACAATGCAGGTATATTGAATGCATACTCTGTATCACGATACTGATTCTTGCTCTGTACACAGCCCCAGTATAAATGTCAATTTAGCAGCTTCAACATGCTGCAGCACGTACACATTGTGTATCAATAACAGATGAGGGTGCAGCTTGCATCCAGCTGCCCCCCCGCGTACCAGGCAGGAATGTGAATGAGCCTACTGAGGGCCGGTGTCTGGTCTTTTCCCTCTGGGCTACTGTAGCAACACGCTAAATGTAAATGGCTAATTCAAAGCTATCAAAAACATAATGATTGTGATTTTTAGGTGATTATACATGAATAACATATTTTTAAATATTAAATTCAATTTCTGTCAATAGACCCGCCTTAATGGTACAAAGTATTAAGTAATTTAAGGACCAAATGCAATTTTTCCATCTACTTGCATCTTTATTTTATTTACTTGCAATGAATCGAACGTACCTGTAACTGGTGATCTAGTTTCAGGTAGGCCATGGAACTGTCCAAACCGTTGGTAGCTGAGGACACGGACACACGGACACACACACACACACACACACACACGGACACACACACACAGTAAAAAAGCTGTATCAGAGAGCACAAACACACACACACAACACAGACTAACGCCCTCTAGTGGTGCAATGTGGGCAGCAAAGCACAAAGCAAAGTTTGGAGGAACTCTCCTGGGGCCTCATTTATAAAACCTTGCGTAGGATTTGCGCCAAAAGTGGCGTACGGATGAAACATTCAGAAATATTCAGACTTATAAAACCGTGCGCATGCACGTCCTACGCACTTTTCCCTTAATAAATCACTTCTAAATGCAGCGCAGTTTTTGCCGCTCCATGTCACACCCATAGTTGCCCATATATAGTCTGTAGAAAGTAAAATGCTTTTTGGAGGGCACAGTATGGGCATTACTAATACCAAAAGCGTGGCAAAAGGTTGCAGAGCAACGCTGCAGCCTCACAACCTCGGACCGTGGCTGAAATAAAGAAAAAATGGTCTGACATTAAAGTGGATGCAAAAAAGCGTTTAGCACGCCATCGCCAAAGTGTGTCTGCCACAGGTGGGGAAAGAGGACACCGGAGCTGTCCCCTCTTGATGAGAGACTGGCAGCAATGATTGGCGATCGGGGACAGGGTCTGGGCCAACACAGCCATCGGCGTCGGGGGGTCGAGGCACGTGGAAGCTGTGCCACGTTATGTAGCACAGCACATGCCAGCACGATTTTGCACACCTTTTCAGGAGTAGACAATAACCTCCCACCAGTGCAGTCGAGGCAGCGGCATCTGCCCTTAAACAGGCCGATGGTGCGCTGCACTACAGCGCGAATCCTTCGATGTGCCACATCTTCTAAGAGTGCAAGATCAGCCATTTCGCATCATTACGCATTGTGATGGCATCATTACATTACATTACATTACATGTCATTTAGCTGACGCTTTTATCCAAAGCGACGTACAATAAGTGCATTCAACCATAATGGCATTTTATTACCGTCCATTTGATTGCATCTGACAAGCAACAGCTGTGTGTTGAGAATGAATTGCATAACATGCCAATATTATTGCAGAACATATTTCACTTTTCTTTTTGAAAATGTGTTAATTTGTATTTCTGTTTGTTTTACGCTGTAGATTGATCAAATGGGTGTTTGTGTTATTTATGAGAGGCAGTATTGGCATTTCATTTACACAACAGTCTAGTTTTACACACGTTTGCGTTGTTTCTTGCATTTGCCGACGGTTCTCATTTCACCCGTTTTTTTGCGTACGCATGGGTCCGAGCTTGCATGAAGGACCTCGCATTTTCCCGTCAAGTTTGCTTTTTATAAATACCAATTATTGCGTAGAGAGCGGCGTACGCCTTCTTTTGTGCGTACGCAACGTTTATAAATGAGGCCCCTGATGAGTCAACCTAAGGTCATAAATGGAGTCATGTAGAGAAAACCTGATCTTGTGGACCTGCTGTTTATTCAAAATATGATGGGGGCTCTTGCAGTAAGACTTAATACAACCTACTGAGTATCTGAGACTCCCTACCTGTGGGACTAATGGTCATCCTCAACTCTGATTGGCCGGTGGTGGTCACAGGGCTGGTGCAGGGGGTGGGACTTTGGGAGCATCCCGGTTGGCTGTCCACACTGGACACCTTGGACGGGCTGGGACGCAGCGTGGCCGTCTGAGCGGGGGGAGGGTGGGGGGTAGAACACATTGGCATCATTATAGTCCGGTTAGACAAACACTCACGCTGTCACTCTTCTCGACCCCCTTTCACCTTGGAGGGTTTGAATTGCAGTGGAAACTTGGCCTCGAAGCTTTTCAAGGTTTCCTCCCTGCCGACGGAGTTCCTGCGCTCTGTGTTGTCGTCGCTCCTGTTGCTGCTCTCCGCATACGAGCCTGGGGGCGGCACACAGTCATTCATGAAAAAACACTTCCTCCCTGTCTCCAACCGCAACTGGGCGGGACCGATGGATGAGGAGCCGTAGTCACCTGTGCTCGTGGCCGATGAAGAGCCGCTTCTGTTGGGTGAAGACTGATGAGGGAGCTTGAGTGGTTCATCAGAGCCTGGGAAGTACTGGAAGACCCAAACACAACACCAACAATCCATCAAGCCTCATATGAGGGAGAAATAAAAAGTGCTAACACATGCAGTAAAGCTGCTGGTGGAGCGTGGACGCCTCCGCCTGTGTCTGGCGCGCTCATTGGCTGTAGATATTTAGAATGCACAATATCCAGGGGGCCTCCATGACGCACCGGCCAGACTCTCACCGTAGAAATAAAGATGATAAATAAATACACTGGCTAGTATCCTACTGGGTGTTTCAAATTTATTTACGTGTTGTTGCATCTTACAGATGTTACACGTTCATTGAGTCAGCTCAATTGGAGAGAAAGAAGTTAAGTGACCAAGCTCTCCAACGAGCTTCTAAAAGCGGCAGCTGCTCAATTGGCCTGTCAGCGCTTTGCGTTTCATTCGTGCAGTAATTCCGTCTTCACAGGTCTCATTGCATCAGAGTTACCTTTTTGAAACGGTTTAGTTCAGGAAGCGCTTGGCTCAATGAGCGCCTGTTTTATGGAAAAAACTTCCAGAGCCAACCAGCACGTGACAGAATAACAGCATTAATAAGCGTACGTGTTGGGACCATACCGTCATGAGATGGCTCATGGTGTTCTTGACCTCCTCCATTGACGGTCTCTGGCTGGGTTCTTTGTCCCAACAGCGAGTCATCAGACTCTCGATGGCCTCTGGGAGGTCTTTGATGAGAGGAGGCCGGGTACCTGCAGCACAGCCCACAGTCAGTCAGCTGGAGGCCTTGGACGACAAATCGGACGAGCTCTACTGTAGCCACGTTAGTCCGGATCAACAAGTTCCGCTGACACAAACAAACCGGGGGACAAGCAGTTTCTGCGCTCTGTCAGGTCAAATCACCGTTTTGTAAAGCAGCAAAATGTAACGTAATTTCCCTCGTCAGAAAAGGTTTGATGCCAAGGTAAAGACTTGAAAATGTTCTAATCATTATTAAACAAATAAGGTCCGTTTTTCGGCAGCTCTCGTCCACAGCTCCTGTGTTCTATTAAAGACCTCACAAAACACGGGAGCAGACGTACACAAACCACAACCGACCCTCAGTGGTTGGTTTAAAGTTGTCAACAACACACAGCTACACAATACAAGGCTGCTGAAGACCCTAAATAAAGAAACCTTTCATGGCTAACATGTCACATTGCTCACAAATCCAGCTCACTCCGGAGACAACAGAGCTTTGTCTATCCTTTCTTTGCTTGTATGTGCAGGAGCACATTTTGGATTAGTAATCCAAAGCTTTTCTCAATGCACCAATTTAGAACTTCAGTTCACTACATCAACCTCACGGTGGACAGTTGTGTATTTTGAAGGAATCACACTCAATGCAGAAAGACCATCCATCCATCGTCAAACCGCTTATCCTGCACACAGGGTCGCTGGAGGCAACTTGGGCGACAGACGGGGTACACCCTGGACTGGTCGCCAGCCAATCGCAGGGCTAACATAAGCAGAAAGAGCATGATGGGGACAAAAAGCAAGCGTTTGGTGTTGGAGTTGGCTCACCTCTGTGGACGGCCCACATGATGCAGAAAGCAGAGCCGCCGATTTCATCGAAGGGCTTCTTCCGTGTGATGACCTCCCACAGGATGATGCCCCAGCTGAACACGTCACACTTCTCACTGTAGTTGCTGCCTGAGGAACACACACACACACCAACATTACGTTCATTGTCTGCACAACTTGAAATCTGCAACCAGAACAGTGTAAGAATGAAGCCAAATCCAATTATTTAGGCCTCATTTAGACACGTGCACACATGTGCAGCGCGTGAATCCATCAATGCCATACAACTTTCTCTCATTATCCAGTTTGACAGATGTTCCAGTGTATATATAAATAGGACCAAATTGCTAACCTTTTGCTAGCACTGGCTAATGTCACTCTCCCCAGCAGCACGTGCCTGCTCGCACCGGGCACGTGCTGCTGGGAAGAGTGGAACAAATGTCAGCAGTTTGGTGAGATATAATATTATATATATATATATATATATATATATATATATATATATAATATTATATATATATATATATCTATTATACACACACACATACATACATACATACATACATACATACGTGTGATAATTTTGTCAAACTAGACAAGAAAATGGATTCATATAATATTTATTAATTCCATACAAAGTGTTTACTGGGCTAGCCGTAAACAGTTGATCAAAAATAAGGATAAACGTTTATGTTTGTATTTATTGTAATGCTGTTGGATTGTTGGCTGGGAACAGTTGATCCTCACATAGTCGACCAAAATGAGGGAGCAGTTTAGAACATGTAGTCACTGATTCTGCAGCACAAGAAACCTGTGAATACCCACTAAGATGAAGACAAAAGGCAAACATGTTGTTCCCAGGATGCCTTTAATTTGTTTTATGAAATGCCGTATAAACCGTGCTTTACGGTGGCCGCAGTGAAGCCAGCGTGATCATGTGACTCTAAGAGATAGTTCAATGATTAAAAAACGTGCTATCCATGCTTAAGGTTTATAAAAAGACCCTACATTTAGAGTAAATATTTTGTGGCCAAAACAAATATTTCACAGGATACTTTTCTTCTTTATTATATATGTAATAATCCACTTTTTTCAGTGTTTACAGATAATGCAATGCACCTCTGCATGGTTGGCTTATGACTCTTTCCGGCGTAGAGACGATAAACGCCTACGTTCATGCTCGCTGTCTGTACAGCCTCATAAACAAAGCTTAAGGGCCTTTGTAGAAAAAAAGGAATCGCAGAGATTAAAAAAGAAAAAAGGTACATTTACAAGAAAAGCAAACTAAATTTAATGAGCCCTGATGGAGTAAACAGTCCAGCTGCTCTACGACAGGTGGGGTTCAATCTTTGGTCAAAATCCGCTAAGAATTCAGTTTGTTAGTGTAGCCTACGAGGCTGATTGTAGAAAAAGAAACCGCTCACCTTCAAACACCTCTGGAGCCATCCAGGCTGCACTGCCCTTGTTGTTGGTCATGTAGGTCTGAATATCACAGGCCGTTCCAAAGTCACATATCTTCAGCACGGTGCCACGAGCCACCAGCAGCAGACTGAAAGCATGAACACAACGGCTTGTACGCGTCTCCCTTGAACACGCCTCTGGCTCAGCAAACATAACGACTTTGACCAATCAGAAGCCGTTTATCGCACTCCACTAAGCCACGGTTACCCAGAATCCCTTTCCTTGCAGCATCAGCACACGGTGGAACGGAACAAAGCGACACGCTGCTTCCACGTTCAGGAACGATTGTAAGACGACATCACAGAGACAAATCTCAGGAAGTTGAGTGCAGTCTTACATTATGACAGACATTTTCAAAGCTTCGCATACCTCATCACCCTTCACCCTTATCATTTTAATAAAGAAACCCAACTGTTCACCCAACCTTTCATTGAGGAGACTTACTTTGGTGGTTTGAGGTCCCGGTGGATCAAGGCCTTTGGCTTCATGGCGTGCAGATAGGCGACTCCCTGGGCACACTGCAGACACCAGCTCATGGCGTGGGACGCCGTGTAGTGGGGCTGGGGGTCGGCACTGTGCAGGACTTGGATTGGGAGACAAGTTAAGCGTGAGACAACTACATGAAGGAAGACTCAAATCCTCTTACGTAACATGCTCGGGTGATACCAGCGTGGTTTTGCATAGGTCGTACATTTATCAGAAAATATACGACCCAGAGATATAAGAACGTGTGACCGTGAGCCATTTCATGGGGAAATTAAAACAATATAATGGTTCTACACAGCCATTGCCACGCACCCAGTCAACATGAATCATCAGAAGTATTCTACACACTTACGGTTATACAGAGAGCCGCACTCTGCATACTCCATGACCAGGCAGACCTGTGGACACACAGAGGACCATTTTGGAGGTAAATCTAGTCTAAATCTCGATTTCTTTACACCAGCCCCTGCATGTCAGGTCATGTTATATTAGCTTTCAGTATGGACGGATTTCATGTCAAAAACGATGCTGAGACACTTGTGTGGACGGAGATCATTTTCATTTCAAATGACACACATCAGGGTGAATGTGGCCTACGATCCTGCGCGTCTTTCACCACACAGATTACTACTTTCAAGCTTTCAGCACGTTGTGTACTCACTGGGTTGTCACACGAGCCATACAGCTTCACAATATTGGGGTGATTCACCCGGGACAGCTGGCGGAGCTGTGCACAAAGAAAAGAATACTTTAAAAGAAGACCTGCCTTCACAACATCTGTACACATGTGGGATTTTACATGTGGGCTTGTGCAGTTTGCTACACTGCTCATTGAGACTTCCATGTCGACTAAGTAACTGGTCTATTAGACTCAAGGGTGTCTTTGGTCGAGGACAGCCGAGTAACTCCACCTGGGAGCTCCGCCCACTGACGGAGCAGCAGGGACGTGTTCACGTACCTCGACGAGGAAAGCGTTCCTTTCATTTTCGCTCTCGATGGTCTTGATGGCCACGTCCTGTCCCTTCCACACGGCCTTGAAGACGACTCCAAATGTCCCCCGACCGACGGCCTGAAAAAGGTCAATATGAGAACATTAATACACACAATCTGGACACGATGCACTTTGACGAGTCCCGGGTGAAAGGGGACGTTCTGTCCCCTCCAAACTATCACGGCTTCAGTTGGTCACAACTTGTCTTCTCTTCAAAGCGAGGACTGAATGTCCACACTTTTTAGAAGTAGCTGCAAACGCCTTTTAGCCCACGCAGCGCGGGGAGGTTCACGGCGCAGATGCTGTCGGTTTGCTCGGACCTTCGACGCACGCGACTGTCCGTGTGTCCCAGGAGAAGACAGTGAAGGGGCACACCAGGTGGTCCGAGTCTGTCCTCTACAACAACACGCACTAGTCGGTGAACGCATAGCCCCCGGCAAAGCCCTTTAATTGTCGGTCACTAAGTTTACCGCTTCCACTTGGATGTCTTCGTACTGGATGTCTTCGAACAGACAGCCGGCCGGCGTCTCCACCATGGCGGAGACACTTGTCAGTGCGACCCGGGGAAGCCGGAGTGTGGACCCGGGGGTCGTCGTGTGGTCGCGGGATGCAGGATGGGCGGCTCGTGGGCTCCTGTTGAACACAGGAAGTGAAGCAGCGTCTGATGAACGCTCCGTGGGCCGGCTGCTCGCGAACGCCCCCCCGCTTGGAGAAGGGAAGACAACGAGCCTAAAAGGAGCCTTCCTGACGCCGAACCGCGGTTATAATAGTTTCAGACTACCCAGCATGTTTTATTGAATCTCTGTGACCAGCAGTTTAAGTGATTCCTTTTAAAATGAGGTCCTCAACGAGCCCTACTGAAGCGCAGTATTGAACGCAGCTTTGTTTTGTTTCTGCGTACACGAGAGCCTCCGAAAGGGGCGGAAAACCTTATTTCCATAACTAGCAAACGCGCGCACGCATACACGCCCATACACATACATATTTTCTGTCTTACACACGCGCACAGCTTGTATTCATTAACCTTTTATTTCTAATTTCCGAATGAACATGCAGCATTATTCGGCTGCTTCCATCTTGAAGGAGCAGTGTGGGCGGAGCTAACAATTTAACTTCATAACCGGCGCAGAGTGGGCGGAGCTAACAATGTAACTTCATAACCGGTGCAGAGTGGGCGGAGCTAACAATGTAGAGGTTCTGGCTCCGCAGGCGGGTCCAAACCAAACACGCAGCAGCATATGAAACAGCTTCCGGTTTAGTCAGACCTGCATGTCAGAGCGAGCGTGTTTAGGACTAAAAACAATGTGGACTGTAATGCCTCACAGAACATCAACATTGGCAACAGTACATTTTATTTAAGGGCAGCATTATTAGTTATATAGTATTATTTCTTACATACATCTATTTTCCACTTCAATCTGTTCATACTTCTACCACTCGTTTTATTAAAGAACATAACAAATAAGGAAACATATCCTATACATATATCCTATACATATTGTAAAAGTGGAAATAATCCACTTTTACATATTCAACAGACAACATTTGCATTACATGTTTCTTTGTTTACATTGAATCAAAGAGTCTAAAGTCTACATAGAATACATACCTAGTTTTGGACAGATTTGTACCAATTTGGAGACAATCCTCAGGATAAAGCATCCTTCATTTCCAAAATTTGGTAGAAAATAAAACTGTTGGCCTTCACTTGTTGAAAAGAGCCTTAAGCCCTGTTCACCTCTGGCCTTTACTTTGGTAATCAGATCACAGGTGGACAGCTCCAAGTAGGCTACATCAGTTTACACATGACCACTTCTGATCGGATTGCACTTGCCCAAATCTATGTACAAATGAACACATACAGCATTTCCGTTCACCACACATGTCGAAGAGTCCTTGAGAAAGACACTTAACCCAAACACTGCTCCAATAGCTGTGACTACGGTGTGTAAATGGTGTGAATGTTACTGATGGACAGAGGGCGCTGTGCATGGAAGCTCCTGTTATTAGTTTATGAATGGGTGAAAGATGACAGAAAGTAAGATGACAAGATGACATTTACCATATAATAAAATAGATTAAAAATCAACAGAATACAAACTGGGTATATTCCTTATGATGGATGACTGGGCTTATCTGGCACAGGAACAGTCACCCACACTACAGCAGTGCTGTAGTGGTAAAATTAGAGGTGGGTAAACTCTGAATTTTGTGATCATACAGACCTTGACGCGATGCGAAGCAACGCAACACAAAGCGCCGCGACTCTGTAAGGCTGTCCTGGCTATATTGCATTATGTTCAGTGCTGTAGTGGTAAAATTAGAGGTGGGTAAACTCTGAATTTTGTGATCATACAGACCTTGACGCGATGCGAAGCAACGCAACACAAAGCGTCGCGACTCTGTAAGGCTGTCCTGGCTATATTGCATTATGTTAAATGTTAAATTTAAGAAAACAGTAAAGAAAAGTATGTCAACACAACACAACAAGACAATTGCAGATTAAGAACTATCTACATACGGAGTCTCCTTTTTACAGTAGTGCCCAGAGGGCCTCCTTGTCCTCCACGTCAGGTCCTGCCTTGCACAGAGGAGCCATGAACCCCAGAACACGCGTTCTGGGGTTCATGGCTCCTCTGTGCTTCTCCTCTCTCTATTCGACCTGGTGTTTCTCTCCCTGTGCTCTCTGCATCATTGCCTGTCCTATCACTGCCTGAAAAAATATGTTGAATTTAAGAGTTAACCAGTTAAGCAGCCTGTCAATTACACTGACAACATAAGTTAAAGGAACACTCATTTACTACCTATGTCATCATAAATAGCCTATACAGCATGTTTTTTTTCACATTGAGAACTGACTTGTTTTCTAATCTACGCGTCACCAGGCGTTTTTCTTGTCCTTTTACCGTGCACGACCAGCGAACACAGAGCGTGCGACTACTACCCCCCCGTCGGTCGTTCCGCCCGCAACGACGACTACACCCCCCCCGTCGGACCTTCTCAACCGGTCCGCGAAATATTGTCTGACATGAAACCGGTCCGTGAGGTAAAAAAGGTTGGGGACCACTGGGCTGATCCACAACGTGTATGTTTACACACCTCCTGGATCCTGATTGGTGTCGCTGCTGCAGCCGCAAGGCACTGATTGGATGGTCACAGACCATAATACAGCGCAGATGAAAATGATTCAGACTACGGCGTTTATATGTTCAACAATAGGAAACGTAGTTTTAGCTGTTTTAAAATTACACCAAGTTAATTTCGATTATTCCAACGGAAGAATACAAGGTGCAGGGAACTTTGAGGTGCGTAAACGCCACTTAGAGGTACGTAAACGCTATTTATAGGTGTGTAAACGCCATTTCCAAAATTCTAGAGGTGCGTAAATGGCGTTTACGTGCGTTTACCCTCCACTACAGCCCTGCACTACAGAATGTCCCTTGTTGTGGATTTATTTATTCACAGGGGTCAACGTGGCGCAGGGCTAGAGAGGGTGTGCCGAGAAATGCAAGGTTGGCGGTTTGAGCTCTGGCTGCTCCATGTCCCGTGTTGAGGTGTCCCTGAGCAAGACACCTAACCCCTAATCGCTCCTCGGGCAACAATGTAAAAAATAGCCATGGGTTAAAAATGCAATGTAAGTCGCTTTGGATAAAAGTGCCACCTCGATGACCTGTAATATAAATGTAATCTAACTCGTTGACTATATCTATCTGACTCGTGTGCAAAAGTTAACAAAAAAGAAATAACTTCGTTTGGTGAAACAAAACTAAAAAGAAATACAGAATGACTGCAAAAAAAGAGATGCAAAATAACCTCAAAAGGTAAAACGGACCAACTTCATAGAAATACAAAATGAAAAAATACATAGACAATTTAAAAGAGACACAAAAAGACTACAGAGGGATCACATTACCAAAATCCCAAATACCAAAAAGTTTTATCGTTGTGGACAAAACCGGCTTACGAAATAAAAAGCAAATCTAGATGAGAAAAAGAGGAATAGAAAAGAAATATATTTTTTTGGTACTTTGTTTTATGTGAGCATCAGGACACATTGGAATTTACCCTACAAAAGATATGTAGTTGAACGCGTTACAGACGTCCTCGACCAACGCTTTCAGGGATTTAAAACTTTCCTCTGGAGATGCAAGAAGCAAGTTAAAGCCACGTTTGGACAGAGAGTGACGTTCGAAGTGTTAAACTTAATGTAACATTAATGTTACTAAAATAACTCCATACAGTGAAAATCAACATTCTAACCACTGATGCATCCATTTATTTTGGTCCGAGAGAAGCTGGTTTCGAATGCAACATCTAGTGGTTCTGAGTGTCATACACAGAACCTGCATAGTCCTCAGAACGGATCTTGGTTTCATGAATATGTTTAATTTCAGCCGGGTATCATGCTTGCAATGTTAAACGCTGGCTTAGCTTTAGGCAATCAAATTATTTGGTAATGGTTAGAAAAAAAAAGATCATGGTTTGTAACGCAATGAAACAACGTAATGTAACAACCTAACGAGTGTAAACAGATAACAGCCCGAGTAGACTAATGCTGCAAAACAAGACAGCATAATCTCAACATTCATTTTTGGTTGCAAAGAAACGTCGGTGAAAGTTCTGTTTGTTTGACCTATCCATCGACCCTGAACTAAAACATCCATATTACGACAGAAAAAAGGTCCTGACTCTACTAAGTTAACAATTCCAAAGGAACTTACAAGTGAGAGCTGTGCAAACTTGGGCAAGGATATAATTATATGACTATAATAACTCACATTATCAGAGATCATGTGTATTTTTGTTATTCTTTGCTTCAGGTCCATATATTGGGATATACTGTTACAGAGCATAGTTCCAGACAGCTCCACAGTCAAACCGACTCCTCCTGCTGGGACACTTCTGTCACGGATCTCTCACGGCTGCCGTCAAACAAGTTGTGTCTCCGTTGTTTCCTGCGGTTCATCTTGGACATGTCCATTTCGAACACCTCTCCGGAGCGCAGAGCGGACACCAAGTCATCGAACTCACCGCCCCCCTCTTCCTCGTTTGGTTTGGTCTTCTTCGACTTCTGCTCCCGGTCTCTCTTCAGCTGGAAGGCAGGAGAGAAATTAGGATGGGAGAGGACATGGACATACTGTTTGTTGGTACACGACTGAGATGATCATCAGTATATGGACACAGTGGAAGTGGGTAGGCAATACTTTTCTGACCACTAAGTTACTGGCCCCTGTTAAAAAAAGTTCAAATACGTTTAGCATCCTATTAAAACACAATTTTCTTCTAACCTGTGCCTCCACGAGTGCCCGCTTCTCCTCCTCCTCCTTGCGTCGGGCCATCCTTATGTTGTCCTGTTCGGCCTCTGAGAAAGCTGCAAGGAAACTGTCGAAGATCCCAAAGAAGGAATCCGGCTGCAGGTTGGATGAGTCTTCTCCAAAGTGTTTCAGTGCCTTCACAAGCTTTGACATGACACATGAAGGCACAAGATGATCATTTGGTCAAAACGATTCCAAAACCTCCATCCACCATTAAAAGTTTTGGAATAGGGGGGGATTTTCTGCGGTTGCCTTCAGGCAAATGCCTGAAACAGTTATTTTGTATTAAGTTAAGTATTAAAAAGGACTTTTGTACTATTGCTTGATTTGAAGGCCTGTTGCTCTGTTGATTACAATAAATAGGTCTAAAAAATGTTTATTGTGTTTGACTCAGTACTATTTATATTCATTACATTTAAAAAACAGACATAAAAGTTACTTAAAAGTTACTTTCCAGAGTAACTAATTACTTTTGATACACAGTAACTGGTAAGTAATTCAATTACCTTTAAAAGAAGTAACTAGTAACTGTAACTAAATACTCATTTTCAGTAACTTGCCCAACACTGTTTACAATGCACTTTGACGCCAAATTGAAAGAACAGATTGTGACACATGGTCACAGAATAGCTTGGAGTTAATTGACAGCATACAGCTAATGCCATTAATTCATGCATTAATCCCAGTAGGGGCCCACACAATTCAGTTCAGAATTTTTAAATTCAGTTCTTGAAACAAATATAATAATAACATGCATCGGACTGATATCTAATGGATGATGAATTAAGAAAACCCATACGAACGTGTTTTCAGCAGGGCTGTCAATAGATTTTAAAAAATGAACAAATGAATCGCAAATTTTGAAATTCATTAATCTTGATTAATGAATGTTGTGCTTGTTACAATGTTGTTTTTAATGAATGTTTGTTTTTCTTCTAAAGACAAAATCTTAAAAATAATGAGTAATCACTGTTGTTTAATTGTTAATGTTATTTTAAACACAAAACTACACATATTTGATCATCTTGGAGGCAGAATTCCACTGGGTGGAACTTGTTGAACTAGTGACTCTTCCTGTTGTACTCGTGCACTTTGCTCTCAACTCTCCATCATTTAACGGCTGTGTTTGAAGTGCCAACAATCTCCCAACACTTAGCCAGAACGCTTTCAAACCACGCTCGGACACAGTGGTGGTCCTCTGCAGACTGTGTGCCACGCAGGGTGACGCTAGATGTTGAGATGGAAGTAGCCGAGCAGCTAGCTTAGCCTAGCGGTGCTTTAAGTGGGGTGTTTGCCACTCACTCCCCTTCTGTTTGAGTAATTCCTCTGCATAGTTCTCTGCTGTATGTCGTGTGTCTGCGTTATTTTACTTCCAATCCAAAAAGCTCTCTCCATCTTGAACTGACTGCAGCTAGCGGCCGATTCGTGTCCGCGGTCAACTTCCGGCTAAATCGTTAACCTTAACCGTTTACCTTAAAATATTTTGTTGCATTCATCTCGGCCACATTAATCGCATATATCAAGAAGTTTATGTTGGCTGAAATGTGATAAATTGAATGTGAATAACGATAGTTTGTCTCACCACTTCTCTGGCCTCACTGAGCGACTCCTCTACATCCGAGAAGCTGAAGGAGGCCACCGTGAGGAACTGACCCACCACGGGGACAAACTTGTCATCGGGACCCTGGGGGGACTGACCGCGCTGGTACTGCAGCTCCTGGAGGTGGACGAACAAACAAAGACGGACAATCACATGTGTGAATAAACCCATGCATTGATGCTTATGCTTCATATGATTTACAGACCATGAGGAGGGTCAAACATTCAGTCAAAGAACATCACTCACCGCTTCAACGCTGTTCAGGCCAGATCTGAGATTGCCAAAGTCCTTCTCCAACTCCGTCATACTGGAGAGACACATGGGAGGGTGGAGACTCTGAGTAACGTGGGGAAACTTTGAACTTTGTTTGACATTAATTCCGCGAGGTTGAGTCGAAGCATAGGGCTATTTCTTTGGCTGTCAACAATCAGTTGTAGCTCCCACAAGTCTTGTTGCCATGGTGAGGTTACCAGGTTTTGTGCATACTTGGGAATATTGTATTTATTTTCTGTTAATAGATGCTGCACACTGCCCATTTCAATATTATTTTAAAAAGACTTGACTCTGCATGTATTCGTGCTTCCTTGTTCTCACTTGACTTTGGCAGCTTCTGGAACATTCGGCAGCTCTTCACTGAACGCCACCACCTTCGGGTACTTCTTCTCCAGTACAGTGATCATGTAGTGAAGCAAAGAGACGTTTCTAAAAGACACATTCAGCAGTCAGTTCATCACTTTTTCAAAGCAAAATCACAAAGAGACCTTGACCCACAGCAGACGTCAACGTGTCACAGTAGGAAATGCAGAGATATCATTAACAGTCAGGGTGACACTGACGGCACTGTATAATTATAATCACTTATATACATGATTACAATTTTAACAGAAATTATAGGGCACCTGATGAAGACTTACAAGGTAAAAAATTGACAAGAATTGTCGCTCACTGACTCTGTTTGAAAGCACCTGTCTATAATACACCATAAAATGATAATGCATTTAATCTTCTAACAGCATGTTTTAATTATAGGAGTTATTTCAGGCATTACCTTTTATTTCAGCCGATTAAGTCTTAAGAGTGATTTTTGGGGTAATGTTCATCATTGAGGTGTTTAAAATAGCTAGGAATTTTTAAACAATTCAATTTGTTTTTACAATGTTTTATGTTTTTATTCTTTTTTTCTTAAATCAAATAACGAACAAATACAGTGACTTGTATTCAGCATGTAATGTATCATAATGCATCATCATTTTCCTATTTATAAGGAAGCATTGCTTGTCTTAAAGCTCCCAACAGCTAGTTAAAAAAATAGAATATAAAAATATTTGAATGTACAACACTATGAATTCTAATAATAATAAAACACACTATGATCTCTGAGTCAGTGAGCAACCAGAGATTATGAAATGTTATAATACTTGGATCAGTCATTAAAAATGCTTCATAATGTGTTATGGTTGGTGTCATAAGCACCTTGGATGAGAAGTGTTATAAGCCGACACTTTATAAGTGTGTTTGAAAAGCATTATAGATACGGGTGATCTAGCAGCATCAGTAAGTGCTCCACCCAGTGTGAGTGTGAGGCGGCATGAACTACACCAGCTTTCTGTGATCGTACTTGTCTGTGCTCGACTTGGTGTCAGCTATCTTGTTGAGGCTGGACACTTTAAATCCGTAGGCGTTCCCCCGCTGTCCTTTGTTCATGTAGTTCCCGAAGGCCAGCACCACCTCCAGGAGCTGGCGCAGAGTCCCGCTCTGCACCACCTCTCTGGACGCTAGACTTAGAGCTGAGACAGCAGAGATCAGGAGCTGATGCCATGTATTTATACAGTATATGTCCAAATCCAAAATACATTACCGTAACACAATTTAAAGAGTCTTTGGGAGTAGCCTACCTTTGATTTTAGGTTTGATATCAGCCACCCTTTCAGCAAACTTCTTCTTGAAGTAAAGAGAGTGGAGTCTCTGTTGATAGTGGTTGATGCTGGGAGAGGACACAAGAGGGAGCTCCTATGTCACTTGGTGTAAATGTGATGGAACACAACTGAACCTCACACTTCTTGCAGATTGTATGTCCACTTTCGTTTTCAAACAAAGTGAAACCCTTGAAGGGTCAGTAGGATTCTACTAGCCGCGAGGTTACATCACTACATGCCCAGCGTGCAGTGACATGAAACACAAATACCCCTGGAGAGAAGGAGCGGCTGGGAATTTGAATGAGCATCACATTGATTTCAAGTGAGTTGGACACCCTGTCCAAAACACGTGTCCTTTGTTGCTTCTAGGTTACCGTAGCAACATGGCAGGAGCTCCAGGAAGAGGACCTGCTCCATATGTAAAAATAAAGGTCATTTAAAAAAAAAAATCCCAGGTGATTATACGCTAAAGAAAACCTTCTTGTTACTGTTACACAGTGCTGCTGTGCTGAATACGCAGGTTTGTACGCTCTTCATCAAAATAAAGTGCAGCGTCAGCACCAACACAAAATGCGGTTCAGGGAAGAGTACATGGCTGTTGGTGTGTGTGTATGTGTGTGTCACCACGTGTACCTGCTCATTTCATACAGGAAGCGGTCTGCTCTGGCCATACGATCCAGCTCGTGCTTGTGTTCTCCCAACAGCTCCATGTCGCTCTTCTCAGGAACAAACTTCAGAAGCTTCACACACACACACACACACACACACACACACACACACACACACACACACACACTCACTATAAAAATGTGCAATTCATTTGATCAGCTCTTTATGATATCCTTTCCATGAGACGTCCATCACAGTGGCTCAACTAGCTCAATGTGTCTAAATCACAGAACATGTCCTTTTATACAACAACATCAATTTGTGTGTAATGTGCTACTTCAAAGAGTATGTTTTGCACCTGCTCCAGCATGTCTTTGGGTAGGTCCTCCTGTTCATCCATGGTCAGGACGGCGTGGCGGATCTCCTCATTGGTCAGTCTCAGCCTGTGACACCAACGTACACGTCACTTTTTAGAAAGCTGGTTTGGAACTCAAAGGGATCCGATGGAGGATTTAGTGTTGAGTCTTGCCAAGTTACAACTTCCTGTACCACAAACTACTAAAACGAAGTGCCATAAAGTGGTTGGCTGAAGTTCACTGGTCACTTAAAAAGCGAGTAAGTATTTTGTGTGTTGCAGAAAAAAATACCTTCACATGTTTGAATATTTTTTAACGTACGACAACCATTAACTGACAGCCTACAGGGACTTAACTTATACATCCATTAATAACCCTTAAGCCCCCCCCCCCCCCCCCCACCTACGCACACACACAGACACACACACACACTGACCGTGACAGCAGGATGTTGCAGTTCTGTGCTCGGCGACCGTCGATCACTGACAGCTCCTTGACCTTCTTCACAGCGGCCGGCTCCTCCCCAGCATCCTTCTGCTACATACAGAAGTGATCAAAATGTTTTACAAAAATACTAAATCATCTAGAATAAAATTTTAAAGTTATAATTTAATGACACTGTTATTAATGTTATTATTTAGTATCTTTAGATAAACAGAGCAGCACAGCTCATTTCATCAGTTAGTTCATTTGACTGAACACAAGCAGTGCCTGTGACACAATGAGTAGAACTGTATGAGGGGGGGTAGATATGGCAACGGCACAAAGATGAAGGAACATACTAGAGAAGGGCCGTGTTGCAGACGGTAACAGTGCCACTGTGGAATACCTGTGGTTTCTGGTAAGCTGAGAAGGTCCTCTGCAGCTCCTCTAGATCCAGAACTTTAAACACCTTGAGGTCATCAATCTCCCTCCATATGGTTCCTTCTGTCTTGTTCTGAAACAAACAATACGTAGCAATACAATATGTGTGTGTTATTAGTTTTTCCAGGATTGTGAGTGCTTTACTCCTTAATCATCTGTTGTTTCCATTCGCTGATTAGAGAGAACGTACGTGTCTGGGAAGTAGTCAACGTAGGAAAAGTAACAGTTCATCTAGACAGTTTTCTATTCTTAGTTTCTCCATCACCATGACATGAGGGGAAAACATTTAATATTTAAGGTAACACGGCTCACATTTGGTAAGGCTGGATCATTGATAAGGTTTCCTCTGTCTGGTTTTAAAAGCTTTTATCAAATATAACTAAAAAAGGAGGGAACATTTCCTTTTCTTAGGCACCACTTTCAGCCGTAGATTTATCCACATTTGGTGCTGTAGTGCGTATTTGTGGCATTGAGTCAAAACCAGTGTGCGTGTGTGTGTGGTAATGAAGGAACATGTCACGGTGCAACAGTGTGGCTCACTGATGCAGCTCCGTGGTTCAGAGTGAGACGCCAGAATGGAGACGCACAGAGGACTTCACCGGACTGTAGTGATAACGCCTCCCTGTATCACACAGTTGGAGCACGTGTGGTGGTTTGACTGAGGTAGTGACAGTGGAGCGGCAAGTAGGATCAGTCTACCTCAGGCAGTTTGCTCCAGTTGAAGGATTTTAGAGGGTTGGATGGCTGAGGAATATTCTTCCTCTCCTGGACAGTTCCCAATAGAGCTCCAGGAGGAGGAGGCGGGGCCAATGGGGCCATGCCGAAAGCCGGCGGGCCTCCTGGAGGAGGAGGTGGTGGGGGGGGAGGAGGAGAAGGAGCAGGGCTGGCCGGCATGGGACCAGAAGGGACTGAACCAGCAGAAGACACGGGAGGTCCTCCAGGAACACCAGACGTCTAACGAGACAACAGAGCGAGTACGAACGGAGGAGTGAGACGGCATGTGAGAAGAAAGAAGCAGCGGTTAACGGTTCTCTCCGTGGTGGGGGGGCACGTACAGAGCCGGGCTGCAGCAGAGCAGACAGCTCTGCCACGCGCTGCTGGGCCTGCTTGTGGTCGTTGCTCTCTCGCTCCAGCTTGTCCTTCAGTTTGTTCAGCATGGCCATCATGTCCTCTTTCTCCTTGTTCTTGGCCTCGCACTCCCTCTCTTTCTTCTCCAGACGCTGCTGCAGGTTGTGATGCTCTGGAAAGAAGGGAAGGTGAGTCAGGCAGAACCGGGGGCTACGAGGGGGGGTCGTTTATTCGGAATCAAAGCATACTTATTTAGCATTAAGGGCTTGGACCGTGGTGAGGCCGTTCTGCCGGTTGGGTGACTTGTGTTTTATTACATAGTGACATTGGTAAAGCCTTTGCTAAGCATTTATTCCTCAGTAAGTCCAAGTCAGCAAGTTACAAAACTGAAATGTGTTTTTACTTCCAACCATTTAGCAGGTGTCATGCTGGTAATATTCTGAACATATGTGACTATATGTGACTCATTTTATGTCCCAATATTACTATTGTGCTTATCAAAGACACACATGAAGCATAGTATATGTGTGTGTGTTTACCTTTCCTCGTTTTATCAGCTTGTTCTTTCCATTCTTTGACCTCACTCTCTTTGACAAGCCTATGGACACAGACACACACACAAAACTGAAGTTCTCCAAACATGTTTTTCTACTAATACACACAACCCCCCCCCACACACACACACACACACACACACTACAATAGGTTTAAAAGCACCACAGATGTTTCATGATGTAAAGGATGGACTAGGCACAGGCAACAATTATTTTCTTAGAAGGTCAGAGTCACTTGTTTTATCGCAAAATATTCCTTTTGACTATCAGACGGGAGAAGTTACTGAGATTTTGTTTTGTTAAATATATAATGTTTCTTCATCCTACCTGACTTTACAACCAATTTACTCATTCAAACACAAATCACAGCTAGTGTCCCAAAGTTAGAAACCCCAGAAACTTACATGCGTACAATATTTTTGACATTGAAGTCCTCCAGCGGAGCGACATCAGGGTCCTCCCCCTTGTCCGTCTGCAGAACCAGCTGCTGAATAATTCGATCCAACAGCGTCCAGTAGTGGTGAGTGGTGCTGCTTTGCTTAGCTGCAGACAGACAGACCATGGAGCATTTCATGGAGACGCAAATGGATGAAACGTGGACGTGTGAATCGGTCTTACATGGCATCATGAGGCAGTGCTGCAGTGCAGACAGGAGGTGAGGGTAAGCTTCAGTGTGGTTCAGTCTCTTCCTGATCAGCTCAAACATCTGGCTGGCGCTTTTAGTTTCTATATGGACCTGAAGCAGAAGACATACAGTGGTGGGCTTTTAGCGTTGCTTTCTCATGTTTTAATGTCATCGGAATGAAATATAGTGCTGAAGATGATATATAAAGAAAACATTTAGGCTGGTAAAATAGACTTACAGCATCGAACCGTTTGGACATCTGAAGCTCATCTTCATTCCTCAACATCTCAAAGAAGTCCAGATGTCTGACAACAACACACACAGAACAACTGAACTCAGAAAGCTCTTCACAACCCAAGTGCGTTCCCCCGTACGGCCTCCTCAATGACAGCAGTGATATTTGGCGCTAACACTCGGAGCTACCTGTTCAGGGTAGCGTTTTCATTGGAATACAGTTTGTCAATGACCGGCTGAATGCCCAGCATCAGGAACTCATAACGCAGATGGATGCGGAACTCCAGGCTGGTCTGAAAACACACAAACACAAGCAAAATGAATCCCTCTCAGGAGGGAAGACAGTGATGCCATTAACAAATTCTGTAATGGTAAGATGTAATAATCACGGAAATGTTCTCTGTAGAAAAGAGATCAAAACAAAACATAATAAAATATGGGACAGGTAGAACAATGATCAAGAAGACAGCAAAAACTGCATAAAACATCAGATATTGGCAAAAATCCCTCAGAATCCAAATGTTGAAGTGTCTCTCTTGATCTATTTTCCCAAGTCAATCAAGCTGAAGCGGGCCATCACGCAGAGGGGACTGGAGCCCCCCCCCCCCCCCCCCCCAACGACAAAGGAAGACTGGACTACTGCAGTCAACTCGCTTTTGTTTTGTATGGACGTTTCAAAGACTTCACCTCTCCTGCTCCCTGGCTCAGCACGGCGTTGATGAAGGACATGACGGCAGTCTTCAGGTTGACCTCATCTTTGTAGCGGCCTGTGGATCTGTCCATGTCCATCATCAGGGTCTGCCAACAAAAGACAAGAAATGTAACACCCCCACACAATGTGCCTCATGCCTTAGATGGTCCTGAATTAGAAATTTAGTTGACACACACCACATTGGATGTGGATACATGAGGACTCAGAGGACCCCGTTATTATCATCACTAACCATTTCTAAGTGCACTTGAATAGAACGTGTCGCTCATTGTGTTAAGATACCACACGTAAACTCTGTGGTCTCTAGCTCCCATGAATTTTGCTACATATTTGTCTACTGGTGTTTTTGTTGTGCTCACCACTAACGTCATATAGACCATAAAATGAAGAGCAGCAGACCGAGAGAGGCACACAGACCAGGCACAAGCAGACCTGAAAGCGAGTTCTCTCTGAGGCGAAGGTCTGGTAGTGCAGCATGGCTTCCAGAACTTTCTTGTGTCCCCCCGGCACCAAACACACGGCGCCGAGGATCTCCAACACGGCAACCTGCAGGCAGAGGAAGAGGAGAGAGAAGGTGGGGGTTATTCATTTATTTCAAACCAAGGCAGACACACTCAGGTTGGAAAACAACCACAAAAATATGGTCACAAATATGATCATGGTCCACCAGAAGGAACTAGGAGCAGCTTGTTCCCCGTGTCACCTCTACGTGGGGTCACATGTCTCTTTGGACATCTTGCCATGACTAGCGTCTGCTCTTTTTGATAAACCGACTGATACTCCACAGCACATGATCAACAAGATGAACCACATTCTCCATCCTGTGTCTGACTGAAATGGAATTTGTTCCTTCACCTGCAGCGCCCTGACAGCACGGTGTAGTTTCATTATCTCTGCTTGACTTTGAACGTGGCCCTCCATCGGCACAATTCAAACTAAAACAGCAGGGTACAAAACTGAAAGCTACTGTTTAAACCATCAGGGTCTGTCTGCAATATCATCTATTGTGTCTTTGGAGTCATTTAGTATCTCATTGTAGTGATTTATTAACTCTTTAAAGTGATTTAGTGTCACTTTGTATTGATTTAGTGTCTCTTTCTAGTCTTCTTGCGTCTCTATGAGATTGTATAGTTTCTCTTTGCGGTCATTTATTCTCTTTGTTGTGAACTTGTGTGTCTTTGTGATTATTTTGCATCTCTTTGTAACAATTGTATGTGTCGTTTAGTTTCTTTTTGTTGTTTTGCAGTTGTTTTATATCTCTTTTCAACATATTGATTTTTTTAGTCTTTTAATTGACCTTCAAGCACAAAATGTCATGTACTGATTTCTGAGGTCAGAGGGTGGCCAACCGTACTGTGAGTGTGTGTTTGGCACTGAACTTCCCTGGCCACAGAAGAATGTGTTACATCAAAGAGGATTTCCACAAATCAGTCCACATATTCCGTATAAATGGGTGATTGTGTTTAATGTGCAGTACTGGAGAATGTACCATTTATAATGGAACAGAGTCAGTAGCTGTCCCACCCTGAATCCCCTCCATCACAGGTCTTCCTTGGTTTAAAACAAGGGCCAATTCCTCAGCTGGGGTGAAGCCTGGCGCTGGTGCCACCCCCCCACCCCCCCCCCCTCTTCCTGACTGCTAAGATCAGTTTAGATAAAATATGTGAGCAGGCATCTTATAAGTAATTTCTACATTATTTGCAGACTTACCAGCCTGCAAAATGTTTTTATATTTTATCTTCTTTCTTTTTTGTCCAGTCTTGTTTGTTCTGTATGAACATCAATTGTTGTTAAAAGAACTTTCTAAGTAAGTAGATATTTTTAAATCCTTCCGCATTCAGTCGTTCCGCGATTGTTTGCAGGCTTTTTCTCTCTGTTTAATTACAGCTGCTGTCTTTTCCTTTTTTGCATATTAGCTGCTTCACTTTCTCATAAATTTCCATAATTAGTTGCTGCTCAGCGGGTTAAAAATATGCAGCGCGCGTCTTCTCCATTTCTGCATCGGTAAATCTGTGATCGATACCGTGGTCTATTTAAGAAAGCCGTGAACGCGCACTTATCCCAGCTATGTACACCTGGATTGATTTAGCTCCCCATTCTCATCCCGGCAAACGTGCAATTTAAGCCACGACGAGCTGATCACACTAAGTCAAGCTGCGCTTTTTCACTTATCCTGGATTTCTTCCTTCTACTTTTGTTCAATAGCCCCCTGATTGGTCCAAACCTCTTCTGTTTAAGAAGTATGCAGAACAGATCTGGGCCTTGACTTAACCGGAAGGATTTCTAAAATGCAGGTTGCATTGAATGCACCGTGCGTACCTTGGTTTTGATGCTCTCAGTGGTTAGACTTTGTGCGATGATATTGATGCTCTCACAGTGTCCCAGCACATGAGCTCGGCCCTGCGAGTTGTTCATCAGAGCTTTGATGCAGCCGATCAGAGACGTGTGGACCTGAGAGTTGGTGGTCTCATAGTCCATTGACTTGAGGAAATTCAGGATGCAAGACAGGCCATCCAAGTCAATGAACTGTGTCACAAACCTGTCAGGGATGGAAGGAAGGTGAAATGAATCGTTGGAAACGTTTCAGAACAGCTTGTTGCAACTGGAGCTGTACCTCATCGGCTGTGTCCTCAGCGCTGTCTTCAGGCCATCTATGATTTGATGTCTTCCCTGCTCCTCCTCGTCCTCTGGTCCCAGCAGAGTCTTCCTCTGTGAAGTTAAGTATTGCATCACCGGAGGTCATATACTCACCCGGAGAGCTTGGTCCTTAGCATAAAATGCTTCTGTTTTGTTGCCCTCCATGATAGTGGCTGATATCAAGTTACAAATAACCACAATGCCATTTGATTAAGTGGCAGATGTATATCCATAGGAATCACACATCTAACAGGCCCCCATGATATAAGTTATTGGAAGACAATAAGTCTGATAGTCATCTCCGTTGTCCTTGTTGATTCTCGTGGGATGGAGACCAAATGAGTCAACATGTCCTACTAAAAGTGGCTTTGAGAATCAGCAATATTTTCACATTTCATAGGATGTAAAGATAAATCTGTTTGTGTCTGGGAGTAAACTTGAGTAAACAGCAAGTGGTAAACAGATGGACGCATACACAGAGTCTGATTACAATTATCAGACAAAAAGTAAATATTGTGTACAACGCAAAATCAGAGAGGAAAATAAAAATTAAATGTTGGGATGTGGTGCTACATATTCTGGTCAAACAAGGGGCAGATGTGCTCCACGGGGATTACAACATAACATAACTTTAATATCTCAGCCCGTCAGTATAAGGGTGTTACTCACAGCAGCCATGGACCTCAGCTGGTCAATGTAATACTCTGGCCATCTGGATGCTCCTTTATTCTCCTCTGCCTCCTGAAACACATACGCACACAGGTCAGGGTCATGGATACTTACTCATAAACAGGACCACACATCCATGTGTCCCTCTTCATATCACAACAGAGAACATGGGAACGTGTGGATTTGTCCTTTTAAGAATGGTGCTTTGAGATCGATTCCACCTGTGGTGTGGGTAACATCACATGTTGATAAAGCCATGCATTGGAGTCATAAACTGCTTACTCCTCCTTACATTTTAAAAACAGCCTCGTTACTTCCGGCTTGTCGCAGTTCAAAAACACAAACACAAAAACCCATCTAGATAAATGGCGCTATGCGGACAGTAAATTTGATTGTGGTTGGATGAGAAGTCTAAACATTTAGCATCCAGACACCCGATTGGTTTTCTCCGTGATGCGCCGGCAGATCGGATCGACACCGGGTGGGAAAAGCGGTCGGTGGAAAGTTGGTATTTATCGACATGGACCCTCCTCCTCTTCCTCCTCCTCTTCCTCACGCAGATTCCACGTAACGTTAGATGAGTATCTTCATGACCGTGGGTTTGTCCTAAATGTTTTATTGAGAGTCTGGCACAACACAGCGACTTGCAAGCAGCGTATTAAATAAAGTGATGTGTGTCTTAATGCGGCTTTGGAAATGAACACAAAGGGATTCTGTATTTGCTCATGAAGCCTGAAAATACTGGTTATTTGGCCAATGTTTTGATAACCAACCGCTGCCAGTTCAGTGTTTCCATCATTATAAACAGGTGTGCCCCCCCCCATCTCGTAGAAAGTCAGACCCCCCCCCCATGACGTAGTAAACACGGGGGGGGGGGGGGACACTGCAGTCTACCTAAGCAATGCGAACGTGTGTGTGACACTGGAAAATGGGTTGTGGTTTTATCTGTTTAAGTCAGATACATTTGTTGTTGTTGTTGTTGTTTCCACCATCCCAACGGCAGGTCACGTGATCTGCAGGCACCTTCTGATCACATTGTAACGGACTGACGTGTTGTGTGAGCGAGGTTACGCATTAAGAGTTTGTCCTTAATGGAATTTCTTACATTACTTTTACTTTTATACTTTAAGTAGTTTTGAAACCAGTACTTTTATACTTTTACTTAAGTAAAAAGCTTGTGTCGATACTTCAACTTCTACAGGAGTCTTTTTAAACCCTAGTATCTGTACTTCTACTTGAGTAATGAATGTGAATACTTTTGACACCTCTGCCGGTTTGTACGATTCATCTCTGCTCTCAACTCTCACAGAGGGTTAACACTTGTTCTCACCCTTGGATTTGTCCAATGGACCGGAGGTTGCCATCTGGGTCTACAGCTGCTGCTAATTTCTTGTGACTGCACAGACTTGTCTGGGTGTGGCTGCGAGGACATGACGCTAAGTGGTAGTGCAGCAGTCTATTGTGTATGTGTGGAACGCTCAGCATGCCGTTGGATTATAGCGGAGCTTATAGTGGTAGCGATCCTTATCCAAGAAAAGCAGCTTACATAAATTACAAATATTGTTCAGTTGGCTGTTGTACTTATAGTTCCTTACCAATTTCTTACTACAGTAGATCCGCCATTTTTTCTCTGCTGGCAAAGCAAACATGGCCGCTCTGTTGTCCTCTGTAAGGTCCAGTTCATCCTGGGATGGGAAGACAGAAAAGATGTGGGGGGAGAATGATTAACATAAGAGGGAAGCTGCTGAATTTGGATGTTTGAAGGCACTGAGAATAGGACCTCTCACTCACCACCAGCTCGGTGAACTTGGTGTCCAGCTCCTGAACGGGGGGCATGGGCAGGTTGGGCTCCAGCACAGCCGTGGGGGTGGTGCTGTCCTGACAGTGGGTGATTTCCGGTGGGTCGCTCCGATTGAAGCAGCAAGAAAACAGAGAGGACAGGCCACTCTCCTTGGGTTGCTTCACACGGGACCCCATGGTTTCAGCAGGGACTTGACCAGAAGTACTGACTAAAGAGGGAGACCGAAGGTACGAGTAGATGATGACAGATGATAGAGAGGGTACGTGGTACATGGTAAAGCACCATGGGGATGGACTGCACCAGATAGTTACCTATTTCATTTGTATCCATCTGCTACCATGACACTACAGGCTAAATTATTTTTGCACTATTTTGCATCCATTGCATGTCTTCTTTCAGGTTAGTGGAATCAAAACATCTAGAAGATTCATTTATGTGTTTCATTTGCTGCTAAATGTCATGCTAAATCACAAAAAATAAGGATTAGACATCTTAACATAAAATGACCAAAACACTTGTTATACAAAGACAAAATTGTTTAGTTGTTAGTGATCAAAATGATGTACAAGAAAAACAAGTAAGCACAAGAAAAACAAGTAACTTCTACCCTTAGCAAATGCTAACTGTTCATTATAATCCACAAAGTATTGAGTTGTTGATTTAATGCCACCGATTGCCGTCGTTTGTGCAGATTTCTAGGCCAAATGTTTTTTTGAGAAAATGAGCATACGCCTAATTGAACAAACAAACAGAACTGAAAATAGGAGGAAGCAATTATCTTTTCAAGCACACCACACCTTTATAAATGAAACCCAGTAATCATGACTCATCAAGCAGCCTGGACTAGGTGTGCACAACCAGCCCTGTTGCTAAACCAGATTCAAATCTGGAGCTCAGACACAAAGAAGTTCTCTGTTGGTGGTAACCCTCCAAGGTAAGACAGTGGAGTCCAATCTATGGCCCGTGTCAAATCCTAAAAATATAACGCATTATGGCCCGTACATAATATTTATATGCAGCAATAATAACATCCACATTGTCTATTTCTCTTCTTGTCCCTCCCTCTTCCTGTTCTTGTCCCTCCCTTCATACAGGACAATGACGGAGGCCGAGAGAATGATCAAACGTTTTGGTAAATATAAGATGTAAAGGATCGAGGCAGATTTTTCTTAAAATTTGTTCAATTAACAAATGCTATTTACTTGCATTTGATTTATTTTACTAACATAAATGCATAAAAAGTCAGGCAGCATACCTCACCTCTAGCGAGTGGCCCAGTCCTTTGTATATTTTTCTGTATGTAGGAAAAACAGTTTGGGCGCCCCTTTACTGAGGGTTAGGACGTCTGCAGACATGAAGCATTACAAAACCCTGAAGCCTACTAATAACATGGACGAAATATGAAGAAACAATCATTTTGAAATATTTATAATGATGTTAATGTTTTATTTTTACGTTAGTTTTCAGCCCACCTTTTCACGCCTAACGTAGCTTTACGGCTGTTATCATCGTCTTCGTCCACAGTTTGACAGTATCACATACACGCATCATTTAATCAAATTCAAATATTAAAGAGGATAGCAGGTCGAGTCACCTAAAGCTTTCCAGGTAAGCTTACATATTTAAGTACACAACCTCACACAAGTAGACAAACCACAATGTGCCAATAAATATGCATTAGCTACAATGGCTAAAGGCTGGCGCATGCTTCTGCGTCTGCGTCGTCACGTTCCGTCGTGTCGCCGCATTCGTTTCAATTCATGGTTCTAAAAGTCTTGCGTGTGTTGCAGTGCAATTTACCGCCAGATCAACAGGTGGAGTAACGTGTTTTTGTTGAAGACGACCTAGAGAGTGACGTCTTTGTGTGTGGAAGTCGTTGGTTTGTTTATTTATTTATCATAGACTTTATTGCCTCGTGCATCGCCACTGCTGCTTTTCATCAAGGACACGTTTGTCCCGTATTTTCCTCCACAACTTTGTTCCCCTCGACCTCGGCCAATGACGGCTTGTAGAAGTCATATTTACGCATTTCTTCCGACAAAAGTTCTTCAATCTGATCCGTTCTCTCATAAACATTCTTCGTTTTAATAATGGCGGTATCGGGCTATGAAAACGGGGGGGATTCCTAAGTATACGCAGGAGTGAAATCATTGATTTATTTGAAATTGCTGGACTACACATTTCGCGAGTGAACGCCATGGAGGAATCTTCCTCTACCTGAGGATTCCTAGACACTTCAACTTTTTACCATAAAATTATGCTTTTCAATGAAACAGCTTTAGTCAGTTGTACGGTGTACGGTTCTGGTTGGATCTGTCAGAAAGGGTTCCACACTGGATCAAAGAATCTATGAGGGCCAAATGTGTTTTAATTTGGTCCAAAGCTCTTCACACTGCTAATGGGACCAAGTGTCATTATTTGACGAGTTGACTGTCTGATACTGTACTATATTTATATGAATACAGATAACGCCGATGGAAACCCATTACACAGTCAGATCAACTGACGTGCAGCAAAGAGCAAGACGCTCAATAAAGGGGGGGTAGTAAGGGAGGGTGGATGTGTTCAAACACACACAGGTCTTAACAAAGACTTCACAAAGAGACTGATGTCTCCCAAGTTCGATGGAGACATATTTATTCATTCAACTGTTACGAACATCAGTCACAGGAAATAAAATATCGTATTTTTTGTAACGGATTTACTTAAACACTGGTCTTTCCTAACCTTACCAAGTAAGTTGGTTGTGGATGTAAACCTAAAAACCGAGTAATCCTTCGATGTAAGTTAATTTAGTAAAGACACTGTCTGCATGAAACCAGAGTCAAAAGTCAAAAGGCACTACCGATATGTTTATTGTACTAACCCATAGCATTATATTTTATTTTATTCCTCTTGCACCATGTTGTCTTGTCGTCCATTATCGTACTGTCTGCGGTTATGCACCAACCGCCAAGTCAAATTCCTTGTATGTCTGACTTATTATGGCAATAAATGTTTCCTGATTCCTGATCAGGCAGCTCGTCCAATCATTACAGGCCCAAAGAAATGATTGGACGGGCCCATTACAGCCTGAGACAGCCATAGATACAGGATCCTAATAGAGGAAAGCTCAGGAATTCCCACAGTGAGGTATGTCCCCCGGGGACCATTGGTTGAGGACACACTGTAGTCATTGACCTGCGGACATTGCCTCACAAACGGTAAACACACGCCTGGAATCAAAGAACCGAAACTCTGACAACAGACAAACAGACGTCCATGGATGTTTTGTTAATATTTGACGTGTCCACGGTTTGCGTCCTTGCCTCGGTTAGGTAATTGGGTTGAAGCATAACAGTGGGACTCCAATACCAATCAGCAACGTGTGTGTATGATTATGTCACATATTGATTGATGACAGGGTTATTATTCAGTTTGACGCTCAGATCAACCAATCGGTCCTGAGTTCACCGGGTTTAATCAATACTCAATCGAACCCTCCAGGGAAAGTGTTTTCTCTGACTGCTCAGAGGTCAGAGGTCAGTGTCCCTCTGGCTAGTGGGAAGCCTCTGTCTCACTCAAGGACAGTGAATGTTTGACCAGAACTTGTTGTGTTTATGACGCTGCTCCCATGCAGTCATTGTAACAGGTTAGTCCGTCCCCCATATCCTCCTCAGCTCCAAGCTCCACTATTCCTATTGAAGATATAGAACTTGAAAAACAATTTACAAATATATGGCTGATGGGAACCAAACTCAGGTCAGTAACACCAATATAAAAGCTTCAGCGTTTTAACACATGTTCATGTTAAAGTGTTGGGTAAGGCAACTAAAGAGGCTCTGGGTAGAATCATTTGCCAAAATGCTGGATGCGTCTGTCGGTTGTACCGACCAACATAAATATTGAATGAATCCAGATTTCATTTGTTAGGGTCATATTTGTTCAGCTTCACTTATTAGAGTTCAGGAAATGATCCATTTAATGGCACAGCATCCAAGGGGACGTTTGCTAAACATGTTTGTCTCTGCCTGATGATGTGAGGCCGGCAATAATGATGTGTATTCTGTGGCACATTTAAAAAACATCAATATTCTTAAATTGGATCCAAACTGTTGACTGTAACCATGAGCACATTAGCAATGTGCACAAGATGTTCCCTCTCCTCTACGAGACATACTTTGACAGTTGCACAGTTTGTTATTTGTTTAAGAGCTTTCTTTCCCATCTGCGTTCTGCGAAGATTCTGCCTCTGATTGGCTGCCTCTCATTCCCTTCTTGCGGAACACGCCGAAGTTTGCAGCTTTGATGATTTTTACTTAGACGAAGGAGTTTTTAAGTATGGCAGCCTTCCTGTGTATTTTTCTCATATACGTTACAACTATAATATCATGTGGATAAATTAAAGTCACAGATATGTTCTGGTGTGGCATCATCATTTAAATGTTGTAGCAAACGCTAATTGTTATTGACATTTAAAAGTGCTGCTTTGCATAAGAAAAGATAGCGGCCCTCTGTACATCCCCCGGCTCTCTTACCTCTCTCAAGCACTCCTATGCGACGTGATGCGATGCCATGCTGGGCCTCAGCAGTGTGTGTTGCAGTGTGTGCAGAAGCAGCGGTCAGGCGTCAGATGAACATCTGCAGGGGAGATCATTCGCTCTGACGTCTTATACTTCTTCTCTTAAAGTGTTTCTGACATACTTTACATAATCCAGAGAAGGAAAAATTTGACTCCAAAGATCCAGAGTTGGCACTTTCAGAAGAGCCGGAGCAGAGTCATAGTTGTATTTACAATCAGAGCCTGCAATCTTAATCCCTAGTTTGTTAAATGAGAAAGTGAGTAAATACAAACTCCAGCGGACGTCGAGGCCCCACAGGGCCAGTCAAGTCAGGGCTTTTCCTCAAGGGCTTGTTTTCTGTGTCCAAAATAATCCAAATCCTCTGTCATTGGTTTCATCCATCCGGACAGCACCTGCTCTTGACTCCTGTGTTCTCCTTCCTCCCTCGTCCCCGTCAGTGTGTCTCTGTAAACTGATCAGTTTCTCTGCCTGTCTGCCTCAAGGAATGTACAGAGAAACTGACACATCTGCCTGGGTGAGAGTACAGCATGCTGAGTTCAAAACACACACTACTGCATTCCTGGTGGAGGCAGTCACGCCCAGACCTCACCCAGTGTGTATGTGTGTGTGTGTGTGTGTGTGTGTGTGTGTGTGTGTGTGTGTGTGAGAGGTGGGACGGTGTGTGTGGTAATATCTGTGCAGTGTCTTATGTCTGATGACGAGACCACGTGATGACAAAGTAGGAGCCTTGTCGGACTTCTAAGTGCTTCCGTCCAGATGTATACGTTGCTCTATTTAAATCATATCCCGTTCTATTTTTAGGTTTCAGTTCAAATGATGATAATAATTCCTGCACGATCAGCGGATTTAGCAGGCAGCAGCAGGTTAGCTTAGGTTAGATTTGGGTGATTACAGAAAGGAATCTCTTTGGCAAACACATGTTTATGATACCTACATATTTTGATCAGCAGGATAATGAACACCACTGTGATTTCTGAGAATCCAACGCAATCAGCAGGAGTAGGAGGCTAACGTTGGGCTACAAAGCTAAAGGAGGTCTATAAGTTTAGTCCTCTCATTGAGCTTATAAATATTTTTGTATTAACCAAATATGATGCAAAACACAGTATGATGAGGAATGATTGAATTCTAACAAAACAGACATTGAATTCGAGACAAAAGAAGCAGAATTACAAAAATGCTGAAATGTTTGTGTTTTAGGACGCCCCTTTTTTTGAGCATTGGAATATCATCTCCTGATTTTTTTATTCTAGTCATTTTCATCAGCACTCACTGTGAATTTCTCCAGTAAAATATGTGATAAACATCTCCATATTTAATTAGTCCAAACAATCTTCTTTTAGTGTTTATATTGTTATTTTCTTCTGTTTAAGTGTTTGTTTTTCTTGATTTTCATTTGAATTTCCTTGTTACTGAACATACAACATATGAATGCTAAATAAAGGATCTTATTTCTCCACATCATCCTTTAACTCTCTGCGTTTGGTAGAGCACATTTTGAGTCATTATATCTTATTGAAAAGTGTATTGACCTTAACCTAATTAAGCCATCTCTATTACTTTGTTGAGCTAAAAGATAATGCAAAAAATATTTTTTCTACTACATTTTTCTCAGTGAGGACATTAAGGGCTAACTAACTTGTCATCACAGGTATAATATATTTGACGTAATCATTCAAATTTAGAATATTTGTTTCTCTTTAAGACATTTCAAAATATGATTTATGTATTATTTTATTTTATCTCTATCTATCTAAATAAAAGATTAATTTCACAGTATGAATCACAGTGTGTTAGGTCACACATCTCCTCTCTTTCTCTCTCTCTCTCTCTCTCTATCTCACACACACACCCTCTCTCTCCCCGTGTGTGTGCGTTACAAAGCAGGTGACATTCCATCCCACGCTGTTGCACAGCAGTGACGTGTCCTTTTGTCTCCATCTGAAACACCAGACTCTCAGGTTATATGGGTCTAGTTTGCATAAATTCACTGAAACCTTTCGCAAACAGTTTATTTCACACCATCTGCCCACATGGAGAAACTAGACGGTAATGAAACAACTGCATTATGAGCACAACATTCAAACTATAGGATTACAATGAGCCTTACCAACAAACAGGTCTGCTGCGGTTCAAGTTAAATCGCTAATAATACCCAAACAGCAAGCACCGGGTGCAAGAAGTGAAGCCAACGAATGAATGTCAAAATCGGCGAGCACAAATTACATAATTGTGTGTGTGGGTGTGTAGGTCCCGCCCGTGCTAATCAAACAGCACTGCACATATTGTACTTTTATTCCTATGCTTTCACATGGCTGCTCCGGAGTTTGAGCGAAGCCAGGGCGTCCTCTCTAGAAACTTCTATCGCTGCTCTCCTGCTTGCAGAAATGAGTCAGCAGATTGCATTTCAGATTGCACAGATGACCTCGTCTCGAAGTCACTAGGTTTTTGGAATGTTTTTTTCTTTTTGCACAACCGCCTGAAATAAGATGGAATGGTTAACCCAGGTTGAAGACCTTCTCTACAAGTCCTCCCTAGCAGCGCCCTACGCCCTAAAAACATTCACATACAGAGAGGAAAAACAGAGAAAATACAGAGAGAAATACACACAACCTGTTTCGAGGAACTGCGCCTTTAAACGAGCCGCCAGGGCTGTGACGTCACCGCTACGCAGGCACCAAGCAGAGCGACCAACCGGAGCAGACTTGGCTTAAGTTAAAGCATGTAAAATGTTCAGTGGGAAACCAAAATACAAGACCATGTTTTTTAATATAAGCAAATGAGATGTGAATGTGAGTCAACGTTTGATATGTTGCACCTTAAACATGTTCTTATATGACAAGGTTTCTGCCAGCCCATAAGAATAAACTCAACTCTGCAACTGGAATTAACTTTAATCAGCTCTCTCCAACTCTCCAATGCTGCGCTGATGTTTACTCACATTCAAAGCTTTCAGGATGAGACATCAAACGGATCGTTCAAGTGGAGCTTCAAGCTGAAGTGAGTATACTACAGTCATTCACGTAGAATAAAGTTAATTCTGCAGTCATAAAAACAAAGTTGTCACAGCTGTTATAGACTTGCTGATCTGAACCAGTCCGAACACAGCCCAGACTCACGAGATTCCATATTGCACATAATTTGTGAGGTTGCAACCCAAATTCCTTTAGAGACATAATCTAGCAGACACTTTTACACATAATCATCATAAAATAACTTGTAAATTCATGCTGAATAAGTAAAATAAGAATAATTCCACAACAGGCGAACCGATAGACATAATGAAAATGCAACAAGCTCACATGAGATAATATAGCCTGTTAGATAGCCTGTTGACTGGTGACTTTCAAAATGGACCGTATCACTCATCATAGGCACAGTTGTTGGTCTAAAACCTCCAGGTTAAGGTTTGGTTCATTTCAGGCACCTCCCTATTGCTCTGGTCAAACTAACATTAACAACAGCACATTTTCCGGAGAAAATTTGAATGGAGTTGCCGCAATCGGTGCATTGGGTCGCCCGAAAGGATTGTGGCAGCGCAGGTTTCAGCAAAACTTCACGTGTGCAGAAAGGCACAATGCAAAATGTTAATGTCGTGCAATGATTGTTCAGAGTGGGCAACAAAACAAATTGCTAAAGGGTTAGAAAAAGGATCGGGACTGTTGTCAATTAACAACGTAAGAAAACAACATAATCTGACAATGTACGTAACAATGTACAGTAACAATGTACGGTAACAAAATAACGTCGTCGTGGCGCAGGGGGGTAGAGCGGGTGTGCTGGGAACCGCAAGGTCGGTGGTTCGAGTCCCGGCTGCCCCATGTCTCAAGTCGAAGTGTCCCTGAGCATAACACCTAACCCCTAATTGCTCCCTGGGCAAAATGTGAAAAAGCCATGGGTTTAAAGTGTAATGTAAGTCACTTTGGTAAAAGCGTCTGCTAAATGACCTGTAATGTAATGTAATAACGTGACAACACAATGTAACAGAATTACAAAAGTGCTAATGTAAGGTAACATTGGGAACACCATAAGACGGTATGGTAACAATGTAAGGTAACAAGGTGATGTCCTCGGAGTAACATCCAGCTATTGTCTTCCCACATAGTGTAAACAGACATAAATACTAGAAGTTTTCTAATTTCTTTTACAAACTGGTGACAACAGTCGCTAGTGTCAAAACAAATCCAGATGAGATTAAAACCAATGGTCAGATGGTTGATCATTCTCCCTGGATGTCACAGGCTGGTATCAGCTGTCTTCATCTTTGGGGCACTGGTGGAGTTGGCTCGTGTAGCAGTGTCGGCCTGAGCGTCTCGGCAGAAGAACACAGCGGGGTTCTTACAGGCCCACATGGCCACCTCTCCTCCCCCTCCTGCTTTGCCGGGACTGGAACTGGACAGCCGGTTGTTATTGTTCACGCCCACGCGACTCACGTAGCGGTCCCTTATCCTCTCTGTTCGGTTCAGCCGAATTTCCCGGTTCTGGCTCTGGCCGGAGAGGTATGCAGCAATGTTTCTGGTCCGATAGCCCTCCTCTCTGCTCCGCCCCAGCAACATGGAGATATTGGGGTTCCTCAGAGCGTAGATCAGGGGGTTGATGGCTCCGTTGGCCCAGGCTAGCCAGATGGCCACTGTGTCCATCGCAGGGTTGAACGTGTAGTCCCCCATGGCTGTAACCAGCCCCATCAGACAATATGGACCCCAGCAAAAAATGATGAAGACGATCATAATCAGAACTGTGGTGGCGGTTCGCATTTCACTGTAGAATCGCAGCAAATACGCGTATGTGGTCACTGGCCTGACGCGTATTTCAGAGAGACGAACCGTCTTGCAGATGTTGTAGTGACAGAAGCACATGAGTGAGAAGGGCAGTAAAAAACACACCACGATAAGGCAGACGCTGTAGGCCGTCCCCATGCGGGAGGTCCCAGAGTGGAACACGTACATACAGTGGTAGAAGCCTCGCTTATGGATTTCCGTAGGTGTTCGGACCAACAGATACCAAGGCAGAGAGAAGATCACTGCAGTCACCCACACGGCAATCAACAACTGAGTTGCTTTCTGGGGCCCTATCTTTGCCTGTGGCTGCCTGACTATGGCATAGTACCTGTCAAAGGAGATCAAAGTCATAGTCAAGGTGGAGATGATCCCAAAGCAGCTGTTAAAAAAGCCGTTGGCCACGCAGAGCCGATCTCCGAACATCCAGGTGCCATCCTTGCTGAAGAGCATGACGAAGGAGAAGGGCAGACACAGGATGGCCGTGAGGAAATCGGACAGCGACAGCGACATGATGAAGGCGTTGGTCACCGTCCGCAGCTGTCGGTGCTTGATGATGACGACGACGACAGCGGAGTTGCCGAGGCTGGAGAGGAGGAAGATGAAGAGGAGCACCAGGGCCTGGGTCGCCACCGCGACACCCTGCAGAACGGAGTTACTCTCGGCGGCGCTCAGCACCGACGGGGTGGACGCCTGGTGGCCGAGCTCGCTCGCCCGTTGAGCTCCGAAAGTCGTCAGGTTTCCTGTGTTCCCCACTGTGGCCTGTGTGGTGGCGGTCACTAAGCTGGTCACTATGGAAACAATCCTAAGAGGTGGAAAGAGGTAGAAACTGTGGCAAAAAATAACAACACTATATGTTCTTAGAGCACTTCATCGTATCCCAATATTTTTTTTATTTTTTGATACTAGATTCTAGTTCTTAAATTGTGAATGGTGTCAAAAAGAACAGTAGAGCAACTTGGCTAAATCCATACAACAATTATGTTTCAAATCACCGCAACATGGTCGAAAACTATTTTCTCCATTTAATGGGCTGCCTGGGCCAAGTGGGATGAGTGTCGCGATCCCTCTCATGGAGCTTAATAGATGAAGATATCAACATTTGTAGTTATATGCAGGGTCTAAAAACTGCTAACATGAGGCACTGCTTTCATAATGACCGCAAGGGTTACAGACTTTCTCCTTCAACACTGCACTGAAAAACGTTTCTGAGGATCTTAGGAAAGAGCCAATATCCTATTTTTTTCATGGCCATCAGTCGACTCCATGTTAGAAATCTGAAATGAATTCCACCAGCTATTCATATCTCTGCTGAAATTAGCAAGTTTCTCTATTTCGACAGTTAAATGTAGTATGTATATATAAATTATGAAATATTATGTGGAATTTGTGTATAACTTGGTTACCTCGAGTGATTCACTCACACGCAAATGTGTAAAGTGCAATATGATTTTCAAAGTAGGAGGGATAGTGGGTGGACTGAGGGAGCTACCTCGACACAGCAGGTGAGGGGGTGACCAGCTGGTTGGTGAAGCTCGGACCGGAGGGGTCAGTCATGTAGGTGCTGCCGCTGCTGCCCCGCAGGGGAGGGCCAATGGGCGAATCCATCAATGAAGCGGGAAAGCAGCACGGGAGTCATCCATTCAGATTACAGCCATTCCACGATGGTTTCATCATGCAACACTTCCTCCTCCATTTGTCATTTTCATTTCCTCCAGATTCTCCAATGGGTGAAGGGAAAACAAAATGGGACGTCAAATTGGTGTCCATGGGCTAACACTGTTTTAAAAACACATATGATGGATCCCAATGTTTTACAACACTGTTAGGGTTGATTATATGTAAACTAAGTATGCCCCATTGTTGTAACCGCTCTGCATTGTGTAGGCCATTAATGTCCCATAGAGACCAGCTCTCAGGACGAAGAGCACATGGACACGCAAGAGAACCTCATAACAAGTGTACAGACTCTCTGGTTTGTGTTTCATTGTAATTATCTTGTTAGACATTTATTTGTCATTTGCATTTATTTAAATTCAACAAATATAGAAGTAAATCTGTGTCATCGGATTTTGAAAGAAAAAGGTGATTGAATTTCTAGCACTGAATATTTATGCATTGAAATCATGTATCTGAAAGTTTTTCAACGTTAAAATATACAACTGCAAAAAACTCGACCGCAAATAATTAAACCGAAAAAATTCAATGAATTGTGACAAACATTTGTTTGACGTGATTCGAAAATGTCCTTTGGCCCAAAATGAACACAAACCCCACAGCTGTTGATGGGTTAGCATAATGTTTCCCAAACAAAGACCCCCCCCTCCACAAATAAAAATAAACTCACTGTTTCTTCATAGGAGCAGTTCAAGTACAAACCCGGAAGTTTGCTATTTGTTTACATTCCGTTAGAGAAAACGGCCAAAGTCGCATCACGTTTGCTAACATTTGCATAAACGCCGTTATTCGCTCGTGACGTGCTCCCTGTCGTCCTCGTGCCGTTACCTCAGACTGACTTAGTACCGGTGCGTCCACGCTGCGCCTCTCCATCCGTCCCCCCCGCTCTCCGGGTCCCGCCTCGGCCCCTCTGGCTGCGACCCCCAGGGACGCACGGAGGGTCCCCGCTGGTCCGCAGGCTCCTCACGGTGTGGCCTCTCGAGGAGAACCGAGTCAGTCCATTTGTGCTAAAAGGAAAGAGACTCCAGCTCGGACCCTGTTGGAAACTAGGACTATTCTTCTCTATATCTCCTTCATAACAGACCGAGGCCCGCGTCACACCACCCAGGTGGGGACGCGATCTGCACGAGCTCACCAACTCGCATATCTCTCTCTCTATGTGTCTCAGTCTCACTCTGTCTGTCTCTTTCTCTCTGTCCCTCTCTCGTGCCCTTTCTACCTACAATCCCTTGCTCTCGCTCTCCCTCCGAAACCACGCCCCCCTGTTATGGACGCGCTTGTTTCTTCATGTGACGTGTGATGCAGTTGCCATGGTAACTGGTGATAGATTTCTTCATCCCTGTCCCTTGTAAAATGGCACAACAAGGTGTTTATAAAAGATAGCGTTGAGAACGGGACATAGTCACATCAGTCTGACATTTCCGGGGCCAGTAGACAAGTTAGACGTGAAAACAGAAGCTGCACAACAAAGCACGAGCATTCTGAATAAAGCACAGTATGATGTCCTATTGGAGTCAAATAAATCTAAATAAACAACGTTAGCCAATTAGTGACGTCGGCTCGGTGCACTTCCCCTCTATGTTCTTGAGGAACAGGCATTAAAGCGGTCAATGGCAGCCTTCAACATTGCATTATGATGTGTAAATATTGAGTTACATTTCAATTGCGTAGGTGGCCCCTTGCATAGTGACCTCTGCCATCAGAGTAGGAATGTGGGTGAACAGATATTGATAGCATGTAGTGGACAGAACTCTTAGTGGTCGGGAGATTGGAAAGAGTCCGGAAATTCTATCAACCTTTTACAACCTTTTTCTAGTGACACACGGTTTCTAAGTGAGAAATACAAATTGAGAATGACAGAGTCACTGAATGCACGGACAATACAACCTATTGAAATAACAACATTTTCCTTTTGGGACGTGAGGGACATGTAAATTGTAATTCCACCAATGAAAATTATTGCACCATATTGCCTTGAAGTTTTGTCAATTTTTGTATATTCTGAAGTGAAGTTCACTTTTACGTAAATTCGCTTCAAAGCCTGGTGTTCGTTCTTTCTTTTCCTACACAGTTAATTCTGGCATTAGTGGGAACACCTAGACCATGAGAATGCAGGGCTTTAACAGTAAAAAACAATAATTTGAACAAATCGTATAACTGAGACAGACACTGGGATATCTAGGTTTAGTACAAAGGCAGAACTCTTGTTTATCTATTTATATCTAAGAATGTGGATAATGCTAGGTATTTTGAATAACGCAGCCATACAATACGATGAATGCAGGCTACTGGATGTAAGCCATTATTGTTATCAGTTTTTTCTATTTAAAAAAATCGAGAAAAAATATTGTAAATTAGTCAAATGAGTTCATAACATTTAACTTCCACATTCTGGAGAAAATAGATGCGTATGTGCATTTATATTTTTTATGTGCTCACTTTAGTCTTTCTTTTTATCCAAGTGTAGAATTTTAATACAAATAAAATAATAATAAAAATAGTATTGATTACTCTTTTTTAATCATTAGATTTTTTTTACAAGATTTTATTCATGAGAGCTGGTAAATGGGCCGCTTTTATCATTGACTACTGTTTTAATGTTATCGATATTCTGTCACTGTTGTAACTTTCAATAAAGTTGTTTCAACACGCAATGTCCGGTTTTGCTCATTTTCACTTCCGGTTGGCGTATAAATTAGCCACCAGATGAAATTAAAGTAAAGCCGAGGCCTTGTTTGATTCATTATTGGGCGCATAATGGGTGAGTTAAATTCCTGTTACATTTTTTCATGGAAAGACAGCGTTAGTTTGAGTGTAACGTCGCACATTTTACCTCCGTGGGCTCAAACAGCCGGAAGCCAGCTAACAGCTAAAAAAAATCCCGAAGCACCGACTCTCCCGTCAGCGGGAGCGATGGAGGCAAACACACCGACCCGTGTGTCCGTGATACACCGAGCATTCTGCCGGTTACAAACACGTGCTAACAATACAGCTCGTGGTTGTGTCAGTCGCGTCCCACAAAGCCCCACGTTTCTATTGAAATAAACATTAACGTTAGCTGAGCTGCTTTATCTCAGTAAAATAAGCATTGCTGTAATGTGTGAGAGGATGAGAGACTTCTGACCGGTGCATTAGTTAACTCCTGTCCGGCAGCGTATTGCAGACCGTGTGCATGGACCATGAAAGCTCAGAATGGATGGAACACATGTGTTTAGATTTCTAAATAATAACAAATGTCTACTCTAATGCTCCCACGTGTTTGTGTGTCCCCGTAGCCGTGTCCATAAGCTCAACATGTCCAGGCACATACTGTGGCAGGATGTTGGTGAACGGATCAGTGGAGGGAGACTGTGGTGTGAGTATGGGTTTTGTGCTTGTCTGTTAGTGATGGTGGTATGAAGCTCCATGAAGCACTCAGGCTCTCCATCGTGTTGATGGCCTGAGGCTTCATGGTGCCATCAGGTGGATGACGAATGTCAACAGGCAGAGTGATGCTCCTGACGGCACGGCTTTGAATAAATCAATGAATGACCTTGGTGATTTCAATACACAAATCAGGAACTTATTAATATGGTGGCTGTTATATTAAAGTGCTGGGGTCAAAAGGGAAAGTGGAAACAAATTTAAATGTGCTTGTGTTAGTTGCAGTCCAAACCTGTGAACCATTTCCTCAATCAGTCGGGTGGTACGACTCGCTCGAGAGGAGGCTTCCAACGTCACCCTGTGTACCACATACGCTCAATAATCAGGTTCCCCTCATGTATGGCTGGAGGAATTATACACCCCATTCCATGTAATCCTGGACGTTGGAGACGGCATTGCGCAATACACACAATACAGTAAATGAATTGATCGATGCATTACTTTAAAGCAAGATAAATGTCTGACAACTGTGATCATCACAGTTGTCAGACATTGATCTTTACATTCAAAATTGATGCGTATTTATTCAAACAGTTTATGTGCAGTTTATATGACTGGGAATGCAAAAACTAATTGCAACTTTATCCACCATTATAGAAAGAATAATGTCCATAAACCTATCAAATGGGATCTTTCACCAGAAATAAGTGCATTGAATAGCATGTAAAACAATGTTTTTTATCTCAGCTTCTGCCTTTCCTGCCAGGTTTGTCCCCGCGGAGAGCGGGCCAACCTCCAGAATGTGTGTGAGCGCTGCACTGAGTCCCCCGAGCTGTACGACTGGCTCTATCTGGGCTTCATGGCCATGCTCCCCCTCGTGCTGCACTGGTTCTTCATCGAGTGGTACTCCGGGAAGAAGAGGTGAGCCCTCACAGGGGTCCCCGCTTTCGGCTTTCACTAGAATGAACAACCCGTTATTAGTTATTGGTGGTAACCGAGTGACATATTGTCATGTTTAGTGCCACCTCTTTGTTTTCTGGATGTCGTCCTGTTAGTTGAGGTTCCCAGTAGCCAGCAGTAACACACGTGTGACACTTGCACTTTCTTGCTTTGGCACATTTTATACACATCACACTTTCCACACAGGAGACGGGAGGATCAGCTCTAACGTCGCCCACCTCATTGACTCATTTTCTCACACTTTGAAACTGCATGGATATTTCCCTCCACTCTCGCAGTCCCTGTAGGCCAGGAGATTGGAGCTTCTTTAATTATGCATATTTTGTGTCACAATGCAGAAAACATTGTGGGGTTTAAGCAGAACAAACTAAAAGCAGTTGTTATGAACTTGACACGATCGATGAAGTATGTCCTATTTCAACTGAATTGAAATGTGTTGATTGTTTATTTTCTCAGGTAGACAAAAACTAGCGCTTCCCACCATGTAAATCCAACAGTGTTTGCAGTTCAGACTACTGCTCAAACCAAATTCAGTAAACTGGGCGGATTAGGTGTCTGTTTGGGCGTCTGTAGCCTCGCAGCACCGGCAGCGTTTTCACCATTTTGTTTCCACATGAAATATCCCATCCAGAGGATGACTTCCTTTTGCTCTGTGTGTTGCGTGCTGCAGTTCGAGCGCCCTGTTGCAGCACATCACGGCCATGCTGGAGTGTGGCGTGTCGGCCGCGGTCACCCTGCTGGTCATGGAGCCGGTGGGAAAGCTCAGTGTCCAGTCGTGTCGGGTCCAGATGCTGTCGGACTGGTACACCATGCTGTACAACCCCAGTCCAGACTACATCAACACACTGCACTGCACCCAGGAGGCCGTCTACCCACTGTGAGTCCTGACGCTGGGGGAAGATCTTAACTTCAGTCAGTGTGTGTGTGTGTGTGTGTGAAGGAGAGTTTGTATGGTGACAGGCTCTGAAAAAATCACTGCAGTAGTCATGTACAAAAACATCTTGAAGAGTACTATCATGCTGTATTTAATCTGTAATTACCTATTGTATTACTTTTGTACTACTCTAACTTCAAGTTAAAAGTGGAGCCCCATCGCACCTCCTCCCTTGCAGTGGTGACACGCCTTTGAGGTCTGTGGCTCAGCAGGTAGAGCGGCTAGCAGGCGGGAGGTTGGTGCCGCTCCTGCTTCCCGATCGCCCATGTGGGCCTCTGGGTGCTGCGTAGCAAGCCACCGCTCCTAACGTTGGGTCAAATTAGGGCTGCACGGTATACCGGGATAAGATTTCCGTATGGTATGAATTTCTCACGTACCGTTCATACCGGTGTTACACCATAACCACTGAATGTGTTTTGAATGTGTTTCCTTGAAAAAGCAATAGTGCGATATACCGGGATACCGTCAGAATCTTACTTAATACCGTGATGTGGGTCTTTGGCATACCGTGCAGCCCTAGGTGAAATGTCACCAGTCTAGCTTAATACCTATGACCATCGTGATGAAGAGTTTCTAGTCCATATGGTCATGGTACATGTCAGATCAGTTAGTCCACAATTCATAGCAGAGTAGAGTAAAAAAAACTCCTCCAGCCACTCAAGGGTCTTTAACACTACAGGTCATCATTAACACCCGTTCCTACCCTGATGACAGGAGGTATTTGCAGATGTATAAATGTAACTAATGGTGCTACCAGATGGCTGCTAGTATACCGGTGACAGATTACAATGTGACATTTAATATTGATTGGTAGTATTTATCATTATTATGCAGGGCTGCTGGTTTTTGGCACAGAACTCTTGACTGCTGATATTTCTCTCCTGTCTTTTCACTGAGCGTGCATTGCTCCTCCTCAGCTACACCATCGTGCTGATCTACTACGCATTCTGCCTGGTGCTGATGATGATGCTGCGTCCTCTGCTAGTGAAGAAGATAGCGTGCGGTCTGGGCAAGTCGGACCGCTTCAAGAGCATCTACGCCGCTCTGTACTTCTTCCCCATCCTCACCGTGCTGCAGGCCGTGGGAGGAGGGCTGCTCTGTGAGTGCTGCCCATGTGACTTGCTTCACCCGGGACCCAGAATGCTGAATGGCTCAGATTGACCGGTGCTGCTGTGCTTGTCTGTTTCAGACTACGCGTTCCCCTACATCATACTGGTCCTGTCTCTGGTCACACTGGCTGTGTACATGTCTGCCTCTGAGATACAGGTAACAGCACTCAACATCAGCTGTACTTGGGTGAGAAGTTGTTTGGACCTCAAAAGTCACTGACAAGGTGTTTGTGATGTCATCAAGTGTAGAGTGGATTTGCTAGGACAAAGAGCTAAGAAAAAATGTTCTAGGTGGCAGCAAGGGAACCCTGGGTAATGTTCTACCGGTTCCACCATTGGGATACAAAAAGTGTGTGGGTCATGTGTGGACAAAAACCGAACTATTTGTCACGGTTTGGGTTAATGTCTGGTTTTATTTTGTAGTTTCCTTCCTCTGTTCTCCTTGGGTCACGTCACTTCCTGCCTTGTCCTGTCGTCCGCTGTGATTGTCTGTCATGTCATGATTGTTCCCAGCTGTCTCCAATCACCTGCACCTCCCTTGTGTATATAAGCCATGTGTGACTCTTGTCACTTGTCGTGTCATTGTTCATTGTATGGAAGTCCTAGTCCCTGTCCACAACCACAATCTTGTTCTCGTTCATGGTTCCTGTCTTCGTTTTTTGCCTTTTGCTTTTGAAAACCTTTTTGACAATTAAAGTCCCTTTTCTTTTTGAAAACTCTGCGACCCGAGTCCTACCTTCCCCGCCATGCAGCTTCCTGACACTATGGAGGAGCTGGACAAGGATTTGGCATGACTTTGAACATTCCCCATTTCTAAATTGTACTTCTTGATAGAGAAAGATGTGGAATCAGCTTCTCCATACGGATGGTTTATGGACTACAACGTACAAATGTGTTTTGTTTCTTATGAGCCGCCCGGCTAGTTTGCCCTTTGTTGGACGATTCATTGAAAACGTCCCTCAGTGCAGGATGTCTTCAAACGGAAGACAAGGGTCAATGTGATTATAAACCGTCCACTGCTTATGTTTATTGGAGGAATGATTAGTTCTGACCTGTCTCCCCCCCTCCACCATCCCCAGTCGTTTAAGAACCTGACTGCCAAGAAGAAGCGCCTGGTGGTCCTGTTCAGCCACTGGCTGCTCCACGCGTACGGCATTGTCTCCATCTCCCGACTGGACAAGCTGGAGCAGGACCTGCCGCTGCTGGCCCTGGTGCCGGGCCCCGCCCTCTTCTACATCGCCACCGCCAAGTTCACGGAGCCCAACCGCATCCTGTCTGAGGGCGGTAGCGGACACTGACTCTGCTCCCAGCAGGTTCCATCAGCGATCTCTAAACAGGCCGGTGCTCTCTGATCGGTTTATTCATGTAGTTTACTGTACAAACTCGCTTCTCACTCACAGTTAGTGATATCCATCTTCATTCAGAGTAAGTCAGTATTGCAGCAGCTGTGACAGCACGGCCGGGCTGTGTGTTTAATATGTTGGGGGTGGGCTTTCTAGCTTCGGCCCATTTTGAACTCATTAGTGGGCCAGTCACAGCTGTCTTGTTATTTGCGGTCTATTTTTTTCTTTCAAAGTTGGTGGAGAAACTAATCTGAACAAATTGATATATTGTCTCAAGATTTCCCCACTCGATAAATACACACTTTCTCATTCAATGTTTTTTCTATATTAAAGACATCAAAGCTATGTAGGAACATATATATTATGTGGTAAACAACTAGGATAATACCATTGAAGGAGAAGGTGTGTCCAAACCGTGTGTGTGTATACACATGGGAGGCACGAACTCAGCTGAGGGTAAACCTGTAAATAGTGTCACTTCTTTGTATTTTACTCAACTTAATTGTGTGTACATAAAGTAAAATAACTGATATTGTGCTTCTGTTGGCTTATGCAGACACGTTGGTCATGTAAATAACTGTTAATGTTCGAATGTTGAAGTAGGATTTGAAGTTTGTACCCGTGAGCGAAACCTAGCATGAGCACTTTGAGCTATTCTCATAAATGTCAAACAAAAAGCAATGAGACATCACTCATTCCCTCACGTTGTTTATTGGCTCCTCTCATTAGTTTGGCATTTTCCAGAGCCAGTATTTGAAAACCATCAAAAATAAAGTCTGACAGCAATATTTGATTGTGATTTTTCTTTGTTGTTAAATGGAATTAATACAGTAAATGAAGTGTGTGCGCGCATAGAGAAAACAAACATGAGGTTCATATGTTTATTTTGCTGAATGATGCGCTGGAGTCTGACTTCCAACTCAAGTCTTACCAGCAAAACATCTCGCACAAGTCACTCTGACAAAACTCCCTCTTTGAGACATCAAGGTAACACGTGTGGAGAAACTGATACAGAACCAAGAATGTGACATGGTTCCCATTTAATCATCACGGTCTCTTCTGTAGGGCGGCAGTGCCAACCCCTTCATAACAATCCCTGAGGATTGGTTTCTCAGTAGGAGGACACATGCCCTGGGAGACGCTTACACTGGTAGTGAACTTCAAAGTTCGCGTGAGGACCACAGCTCAGTGTGGGGGCAGTTTGCCTGGATGCCTTGCATCACCAGAGGGAAATACTGTATGTAGGTGACACCTGAGACCATGACGACGTCTAATGAAAACAATGCAACTGTTGTGAAATTAAATCATGACGTTTTTATTCGACAATAAAAACTCATGGATATGAGGGTGACTCGGAGGAGACTGGGTCGCGCTCCTGCTGCAGTTTGATAAGTGTCCTGATTCAGCTTTACATCTTCGATTAAGGATTCTTCAGACTAAACCCTGAGCCGGAGGAGGATGGTGAGTAAGATGTGATATGACTAATGAACAACGGTACTCCACTAACGTGGAGGGCTGTGTTAAGTTACTTCTGATGAAAACAAAAGGTTCTGGATTTTCGCCACTTCAATAATAAATAATAATAATAAAAGCCTTTGAATAACTAAATCATGTAATTGTGAAAAGTTGTTAGGAAGGGATATGTTGTAAAGCCGCTCCTGTGACCCTTAATGACTCCGATCAAGTATTAAAATGTCACGTCTTGACTTATCTAGAAGTGATAAGCAGAAAGAACCAGGTTGTTCCTGGGCATCGCTCTGCACAGCTATCACTCATCTCGACGCAGGACTGGATGGGAATAGCTGCTGGAATTCGGAAATCGTCGTTTCTCCACCGCGGGGAGTGTGCTCACCTGTGTGTGCGCTCAGTGTCTGTGTGCCGCCTAACATGAAGATAGGGGAAACACTGCATTAGCTCCTACATCAGCCATTAGTATGTTGTATCTATCGCATAGATCTTACAGTGCGTTATGATTGCTTATTGGAGTCATATCTATTTGTGTGAACGCAACATTAACAACCTGCATGTTAGAGAAGATGGAGATGGTTCCTGAGAGACAATGTGTTCCTTTAAATCAGCTGATCAATGCTATCACTCCAAAGTAGCGCTTTGAATCGTTTCAAGAAACCTGTTGGAGCAAGCACCACTCCCCGCCCTCCATACCTCTAAAAGCATAGACCCACTGCGTGAGGTCCTGCACACCTTCAAAGCGTCAAACAAAGAAAAACAGCAGGCTCCGCCCCTCCGCCCTCTTCACTTCTGGATGTAGATGATGATGATGCACACGGTGCCCACCAGCCCCAGGGCCTGGATTCCCAGGAACCAGAGCAGCATCCAAAAGAACACAATCACCACCGGTTCCACGATCTTCTCCCCAAAGTACATCTGGGCGAAGCCCATCCGCCGCAGGCACTTGTTGAGTGTCCCGAACAGGTTGCCCATGCGCTCGCAGTCGTCGAACCGAGGCTCCCTGGTGGTGGGGTCGTCCACGTGGGGCCACCAGGTGGCGGGATCGCGGATCCGACTGCCATCAACCTGTGGGGACGAGGTTCAGATTGGTATTGGTTCACTTTGAACCAATAAAACCTTTATTAGGACATGCCTAGAACATTATACCGCTGCACGGTGTGGCCAAAAATCCATATCACGGTATTTAGACAGCTTCTCCCACCAGAGACTTGACAGACTGCAATAAATCGTTTTCTGATCTAACATAATTTACGTCGGATTTTTCAAAACCAAAAACACTACAAAAAGACACTGCTCCTCTCTTGGGCACAAGTTGTGTTGGTGCATCTCTGGTCTCTCGTTGTTCCTCCTGTTTTGCTCTTTTCTGTGTTTTCGTGTAGCAGCAGAGTTACTTCTTGTTGTGACCTGTATAGCATGCAGTTCGTTAAATGTACAATTATTAGTGTTACAAATTGTGTATGTGTCACAAGCTGTTGGGTCGTGGTGTTTTACCCTGTTAAAGAGTGTTTGTTGTTGGTTATTCATTGTTGTTATGAAGTTATAACCATGACTCAATCAGAACACACGTAAGACAAGTAGCTCCGGCCGATGGCCGCTTCGCCATGACGTGTAAAAATAAAATCAGCCTAACAATAATGGGCTACACAGTTTCCGCGTGTAACAACTGTATCAACCAGTAATTACAGTGACTTCCGCATTTTTTGCCTGGGCAATTCCCAGAATGCATTGTTAAAAAAAGAGAGCCGATTCTTTTTTTAGTGGCCGATTCCTCGCAAAGAGCACTGACCAGAAGTGATGTCACTACATTTCAGACTTAAGTGGGCTACTTATCAGGCTTGGAGTGTTTACTGACCAGTGTTAATAATTGATTATCACCTCATCATACAAGCTGTATTAGGCCTCTATATGAAAGCCTTGTATGGATGTTGCAAAAAACAGCTTGTGAACCCTTTTATTTTCACCACACTTCATCTGTTCCAGGAGGTGCCATCTTATTTCATCATTTTCTACAATGCATGTACTTTGGTCATCTTACTTTTTAAAATACGTGTCTCTGAATTACTTTTGAGCCTTATTCCTAAACATTTATAGACCACATACAGTCTGTGCAATCTTCTTTGATGAGTTTACAGGACTGCTGTCTACAATCTGTAGTGATCTTGACTGTGTCGTAACTGTTGGTAAATTTTAATATCCCTGTTGATAATCCCCAGGGCCGAGGGCCAATAGAACCATGTGGTGTCCTTGATATGATCTGACACAGCGCGTGACAGGACTCTTCACCTAATCATCACCAAAGTGTCTAAACATTCTCATGGCTTTATAAAAAAGTATTATATTATCATTTAGAACTGAGAAATGCAAGGCAGCCCTTCTTCTGTGACATCATAACCAAGAACAATAACCATAACAATATACGTGCCTTACTTTCCACAAACCCTCCAGTGACAGCAGCTGCTGTACCTGAGACAATATACCAATGTCAGTGTTTCTCCTGCCATTATAACAGGGGGACACCTGCGCAATATATATATATATATATATATATATATTTTTTTTTTAAAGTTAAACATTTCATATATTTTTTCTTATATTTTTTTCTTATGTTTTTCTTCTTGTCATCTGAAGTTGTAAACCTAGGGTTTGGATAAAGCCAGTGAACAAATCAAAGACTGGGCTTGCTGGAATTTTCTTCACTTAAACAGAGAGAAGTAGTGGACAAGGATAAACCATATTAAAAAACACAAACAAAGCAGAAATCTAGGTGTAGTTATGGATTAACTCATTATGATCAGCCATAAAAAGACAATTATAAAATCAGCCTCTCACCTAAAAAATATATGGATGGGGAAATATTTGCATTCATCTTCAGTAGACTGGACTATCTTAACAGTGTGTTCACAGGTCTCTCTAGAAAGTCAATCAGAACTCTGCAGCTCGAGTTCTCACTCAGACCAAGAAAGTTGATCACATCCCTCCAGTTCTGAGGTCTTTACTCTGCCTTCCTGTCCAACAATCCGGCCATTGGTCTGTACTAAAGCACTGAATGGTTTAGGGGCAAAATACACGTCTGAGACTTTTAGCCGCTTCAAATTATGAGACTTTTCTGTTGGCGTCTGCTTTAATTGAACCAGATTCAAAGATATTGCATTTCACTACGGTATTGTATTTCTTAAACTGTACTGCACTTTGCCTTGTGTTGAAATGTGCTATACAAATAAACGGGTCTCGCTGTCTTTTCTAACTTGTTGATGACAAGGCATCTCTCTGGCCTTCGGCGCCACTGGCCCCCTATGTGTGATGGAACCGACTCAGACATCCCACGGTGGGCTCCAATCCCGATGACGGAGTAATGATTCACCTCCTCACTGAAAGGGAGCTTTCTGATGTATATTTATACATACACTCCACCTGTGCACAACGGCCCCCAGACACATGGGGACACACAACCCTGTGTGTGCAGAACTCCCTGATACATCGGTATGATTGAGGGCTTGAGTCAAAGGTCGTTAAACCAGCAAATGATTACAAGATATAACTCTCATGCACCCGATGAGGAAATAACCCCAACTTCATAGAAAACGCGGTTCATTTAAAAGTCGACACGAGTTCATAGACTTAGTAGAAAGTGCATTTCAGATGAAGAGATGTGTGAATAACTGTTTAATGATCAGTTCCATCATGGAGCCTCTTACAGGCCTAGGTTAACTTAACGTTAAATCCCGGCGGGTTTGAAACCCTCCTCTCCGTCGCAGGAGGAGTCGTGGGACACTGAACTGAAAGCTGTCATAACTGAAGAGGAGTAACGTTAAGTCGGTAACTTATATGTGATTTAGCTGGTTTATCTCCGGTAAGTCCTGCCCCGCTAGCGTTAACGCCGCCCGTCGGCGCGGCCCGGTCAGCGAGGAGGTCGCGTGACCCGCCCGTTGGAGCACTTCTCTTTACCCGGTGTGACGCCGTCCGTCCGGGCTCTGGCTGAGGAGGAAGCCATCTTCTCTGGGAGTCCGTCGTCGGCTCTTCGTCTTCCCGTCGACGAGCAGCCTGCCGGTCGCTAGCGGGCTGCGTCACAGTGGACATCTCGCCACTTTAGTCCACGGACGGGAACTTCCCGGGAATCAAAACATGCGAGTTGAGTGAATGACAGCACGCACGCGCTCCCAGTACTGTCCGCCTGGAGCCGCGCGCCGCGCGTTCCCGACACATCCGCTGGAGCTCGAACGGCAACTCCCGCGGTTGTGTCGGGAACGCGCAGCGCGCCAAGAGAACCGTCATTCTCGGCAGGTCCGTCGGGGCTCTTCTACTCGAAATTGATTTTTTATGGAAAACAATGTGACAGCTGTCCTTTTTCCTCGTCTTTTTGATGTAACATTTATAGTCGTGTTACATGATGTCAGAAATAATGAAAGTGCTGAGTGGGTTGTTCTTTATGGAATGCCGTTTTAGTCAAAATTAAGTAAATACATAAATACATATATACATGAAATATGCATTTGAAAAACATCATGAAATAAATAAATGAGGCAATAAATACATAAATATTAAATACATTTAATTATTTCATGGTGCTTTTATTTCATAATGCCACTTTTCATGTCATGGTACTTTTATTTCATAATGCCACTTTTCATTTCCAGAGACTTTTATTTCATAATGCCGTTTTACATTTCACGTTCTTATATGCAAATCAGGGGGCGTGGCTATATCTCACATTCAGAACAGACAACAGAGCCGTGTGCAAAAAAAGGCTGGCTAAGGGACGTGAGTGTTGACATAATGGAAGACATCGGTGGGCTCCGAGGTAGCATGCTAGCATTAGCTGATCAAATCGCTCAACATGGGTTTTCTGCAGATACGATTTTGACACATACACAGGGGTTTTTGGAAATACTAGGGCGGATAAGTGCTCTTTCAAGATGTATACATAGACGACGAAGTTTTAAATTGTTTAAGACTGATTGAGCACCACCGAAAGATTTCAAATGCATATTTAATGTATTTATGTATTTATTCATTTATGTATTTATTTATTTATTTATTTAATTTTGACTAAAACGGCATTCCATAGTTCTTCCAGTCCACACTCAATAATAAAATAAGTGATGGTATTGGTGGCAGAGATTAGGAGGGGATTAAAGGGAAAAGGTTGCATGGAACCGAGGGTCAGCACCCTCAAATTCGTATATCCTCACATCACATGTTTGATGATGTCACTTCCAGTTTAAAAATAAGATTCATTTTTTTAAACTGCACAGTAAAACGTTGTCTTTACAAATTATTGAAGCAATAAAAAAATATTCATATGTTAAATGCTGTTGGACTCAAATTGTATTTTTTCCCTTTGTAATATACTTGGATTCTATAGTATATTTAGCTCATAACACTTTTATGTATGATGTACAATGCTCAGTTTGAAACACAATACATGGTGGGTTGTTGCCATGAAATTGTCCTTTAAGCCCCCAAAAAGGCCCGTGATTGATGTTGTGATTTGTTCTTCTGACAGCGGGCCTTGGGATTACACTCCATTTGTAAATAGTGTAATCCCAGCTAATCTGGGATTCAGTTTCACACTGCACAGTGGACACGAACCTCCGATTGGAGAAGACTGGGAATATGGAGCTACAAAGTGCCTGTCTGGCTATATGGTTTGCCTGATGAAGGATGTATTTGCTGGGCCTGGTTTACATCTTGCAGTCCCATCTGTTGACGGTCCAATCCTGTCCAGCTCTGTGCGCCTGCACGTTTGGGGACAGTGGAGCAGCAGCGCTCAGGTCGAGTGATGCTGATTTCATTCTCATCTCTGTGTATTTGTGTTTGTGCAAGATATTTTTTGTTGCAGCGCATTATATTTTAATTTATTAAATATTGCTTGCGAATGTTTCCACGCTCGCATGATTTTTGCTCTGGATTTTGACATCAATTTGCCTTCATAATTGAAGTTCTAAGGAGCCAACACCGTGAAATCATGATTCACAACATTTGTTAAATGTAAATATGTTTACAATAAATAGCATCCCATAATACAAAAGAAAGATTTAACATTAGTTTACATTGTTTGGATAATAGCAAATAACATTGGCAGTGACAGTGACTATAATTAACCATTGTAAAATGGTGTGTGAGATTTCACGCGGATGTATTTGCATATTTTATGTCATCTTTACACAGTACTAAGCTTGAATATGATCAAATAGTGCCTCGCTCAGAAAACAGACGTCTTTGTGTTCATCCGTCCAGACTTACACGTGTGTGATTAACCTCCCAGGTCGGTGCAGTGCAGTGATCCAAGAATCTCAGCCATTCCTACAAACGTCCCAGCTGATACGGTGAAACTACGTCTGGAGAAGACCTTGATCTCCAGGGTGCCCCGGGCAGCCTTCTACAACCTGTCGGATCTGCGTTTCCTGTGGCTAACTTACAACTCCATCACATCCATCCACCCCAGCAGCTTTGTCAACCTGAAGGCCCTGCGTGAGCTGCGCCTTAACGGAAACCTCCTGACGTCCTTCCCCTGGGAGGGACTTAGGGATATGCCTCGCCTTCAGACACTAGGTCTCCATAACAACCGCCTGTCCAGCCTTCCTGCCCACGCTGCTCTCTTTCTAACTAACATTACCTACCTGGACCTGTCCAGCAACAGGTGTGTCCAGACAGCATGGAGCCATGGAGCTTATGATACAGAGCATTAAGTGGAATTATGCTCTACTTCTCTCTCCTCAGGCTCACAATACTACCTGTGGAGCTGCTTGACCTTTGGTTTCCTATCACAGGACAACAGGGAGGATCAGCGCAAAGAAGAATTTTGGGTACATTATGTTTTGGGCAGTAGAAACACATTATAAACTGACGCTGACTAAAGAAGCTATCCTTAATTTATACGAGCAAAGACGTCAAGACAGTCTGACAGTATGAGACATGTAGAATGTCTCATAGTAAATGTGTGTTGAAGAGTTACTGTTAGAGGTAATCGGTTTTCCTGTCCATGTTAGCTATCGTAAGCTTAAGTTAGCTAACCTGCATTCTGGGATAGGAGTTGGGTAATAGGGTGCTGTGGGCTCCTTACGATATGGCATGAGATATATATGATGATGATAGTGCCGATGATAGTGCCGAACTAGATACCATCAAGTGGTGTTTAACATACAGTATTTCATTCCCAAGTCCTCACACAGCACTGCTTATTAAGCACCTCAGTTAAGGAAAAAAACATTCTGGATTCTAAAAAAGTGTGCTTGTTACGCAAATTGTAATATTATAGTACATATCTTTTGTATAAAGACTTCAGCATAATAACTCAATGTTGACTTTTTACAAGGGACACAAACAGCGGTCTCCTGAGTAAAAGTCCTGTGTGTGTTGATGTACAATCTCCACATATTGGATAAAACTCGATTTTCTTTTTCACTCCTATTTCACATATGTTATTTTTCAGTCAAACTGTGTTCAGCAGCATTGATGACAGTTTAGATACTCACAGACTCCATTGATTGGGGGTCGTCAAGGGTCCATGTGATGGATTATGAGCAGTGCCCCAACAAACGCAGACTATCACTCTGCCATCATTCGTGTTTATGCCATTTGACGCTACTACACTGAGTCACACAACGTTATGTTCTTTGACAAGCCTACTTATTTCAGGCCAAAGGATGATGTTTTTTTCTAACCATTTGCTGCTTAAACTTATACGTCACTGAAGAACCTTCTGGTTCAATTATGGAAAAAGATCTTCCCAAAAGGAAAATATTATGGGATGAGATAACACTGCATTGACTCTGAAAAGCTCCAACCTTCTGCAAGCCAAATTTCTCCATGTACTAGAAATATAAACTGAAATATTAGTAAATAACCGATGAAAAACAGGGTGAAGCTTCTTTCCCGCCACAATTATTACATGTATTTTAGGGTGGTCATGCAGGCCTCTACGCTCCCCTACATGGGACATGTTGAACTGGCGTGTGTGTGACAAGCAAACTGCCTGACATACAGTATGCAGACATCACAGTCACCACCTCTTATTTTAACCTTTCTATTCAAACAAGGTTTCCAATTTATGACACAAACACGAGAATTCTCTAAATGAGTGAATTTGTCATGAATGTCCAGGTCTACATGACAACCCCTGGTTGTGTGACTGCCAGATCTCCATGGTGATGTCATTGTCCATGTCTCTCGGGAGTCCTATCATCCTCATGGACCAGCTGCTGCTATGCCGCTGGTCTCCAGGTCAGTCAGGGATGCTGCTGACTCAGACAGAGCTGTCCCGTTGTGTGAGGCCTTCAGTCCAGCCGGCGGCCACCAGGGTCGTCTCTCCACTGGGCAGCAACGTAATGCTCCGCTGCGACGCCACCGGCTACCCAACACCGACGCTCACCTGGATCAAGACCTCGGCATACAATGGTGAGCAGTCCCAGGTCCCTCTCAGCTGATGAAGGGGTGTGACTTAGATCTGAGCATCAGATATGTTATGTTTTTGTTCTCTCTGCAGATTGCTGCAAACAAGACATTCTCAAAAACTCTGACCAGCTACCAAGGAATTTGGAGAGCTGTAAGTAGGGCTATCTTGATTTTTTTATATCTAGAATTTACATTTATATTATCTTCCATCAATCACAGCCAATTGGCTCAAGTTGTTAGAATATAAATAAAAGCTAGTAATATTATACCACACAATTGCTACATTCATACCAGATGTCAAACTGGACCCAAATGAAAACAATTTGCTGGGGGAGGAAGCCAAACTGATACTCCATTTTCAGCCAGGCAGGAGAGCTGGCATAACTGTTTGAGATCTAAGGCATTGGTTCTCAAATTATTTTTTCAAATTGTGGTTTAAAAAAAAAATAGTGGACCCCTTTTTTGTATATTTGAAATATTCTTTCAGCAGCTTTCGTTGGGTAGGGAACAGGGCCCTGTGTAAATCTCTGGGCTGTACTTAGTGGGAGCTAGCAAAGTGTACTGAGGTAAGATTGTGGAACTTTTTTTATGTTTCAGTTATGCAGCAATCACCTCAGGTGGGCGTTCGCTGGTCGATAATCATACTGAACGGGTTATCATACGAGGATGCCGGAGAATACCGCTGCCAGGCACGGAACATGGCAGGGATATCGGAAGCCCCCATAAAACTCAGGGTGGTTGGTGTCTCGAGACTATTCCGTCTTCCAAAAAAGAAGTCCCAAAAGACTCCACCCAAACCATCGTCAAAATACAGGAAGCCCAACCAGACTCCTACCAACGCCCCCTCAGTACAGGACAATCAGACACTCCAAAGAAATATGGCATCGTCCAATAATAAGACCCAGACGATTCCCAATCTTTCCCCAAAAGACAAGTATGTTAAAAAGCGCAAAACTATCTTAACAGATGCAAAGACCCTAACATCTGTCAAGTCCGAGTCTGTGTTCCTGAAAAACTCTACAACTGCTCCATCGACATAGAAAATTGGTTGAGATACATTGAAGTTGGTTTGGATGTGTCACTTGCTTGACTTCGACAACATACAGAAAATAAAGCTGTAAAACAATACAATTGTTTGTTAACCTCCCTTGTTAGTTTTACTTTCCTTTTCCGTTTGTTGACTCGGTATCCTGTCATTTGAACTTTTTATAAAAAATAAAATGTGCCACAGGATTTCTTTGATTTCTATGGTTTTCTAAAAGAATGTTTTGAAACCTGGAGTTTGGGCTTACACAACTACCAGCCTGCAGTCCGATCTAACTTGCAAGATAAGGCCCCTTTTTTATTTTGTCAGCCATCTTCAACCCTGTCACCAAAAAAGATGCTAAAATCGTCTCTGATATATTAAATGTTGATGCATCTGAACCAAAAATGGGTTTCACAGCCTCAGCTTCCCGTCAGCCTGGTTACAAGCTCGCAGAAACGTGCAGTCCCTCATGGAGAAGAAAGCAACCCCGTGTAATTTGACATTGACCCCCATTACTGCTTCCCACCATTACCGTTACACCTACTTATCGCGCCAGAGCGTTTTGCCACTTCCTTCTACAGTTCATGAGTTCACGTCTCAGTGGAAGCTGACCAGTAGGGGGCATCAGCAGATACAATATGTTGCTGGGCAAGAGCATGTTTTTCATGTAATGTATGAAGAGAAAAAGAACAAATCCAGCTGTTTAAGACTTGCTCTACATTCTCCTGAGAATGAACCACATTTGAATATCACTGTGAGGGAGCTGGAAAGCTCTAGCCTTACTGAGGTGAAAAATACACACATTTGCTCATGTAGGGAAGTTATTTTAAGGAACTCCTACGAATTCCTCTCCCCTTGAGGTCTACTTATGGGTGTGGATTTCATGTCTGAGGGTGCAGCTGCAAAGGCCTAGCTGATGTCAATGACCTTCTCAGCCACATACTGATTTAAAATGTCTACTATTAATAAAAGCTGTAGTGGATGTAGTAGACTAACAATATTAACAGAGGAAGTAATGGTGTCAGCAATACTCATGTGACTAATAATAAGCTAATTATAATTGCATAACAAGGCTTGGACGGTAAAACTGCCACTGCCAAACTTGACCTTAAAGTCGATACAGAGGCAGATTTTACTTGCCATTTCAGAAAATAATTTTAAAGTGCTGAGAAATATACCATAACTAAAAGCTGGTGTAACCAAATATGGCAGCCCAGTAGGTAGAACGTAGAATAGTAGTGCCACGAATGATGAGGTCTGAGATATTACAGTGCATACATGATGGACATCAAGGCATAGTGAAGTGCCGGGCGCTGGCGAAGTGTACTATGTAGTGGCCTTGAGTAAGCAAGCACACCCAGGATGCTGCCAGCATGTGTAAGGACTGTCAGGAGTCCAAGATGACCCAGAAAAAAGAACCTCTGATCAATATCAACAATATGAACAGAACCACCAAGAGAATCTTTCGCGATACATAGAAATAGCCAACCTCAATAACATGTCAGGGGAAACCACGAGAGCTGAGCTGAAGAACATCTTTGCTAGATAGATTGCCAATTGAACTCGTCACAGACAATGGTGCCCAATAGTTAGGCAGAGCTTTCATGAAGGTCTCTAAGGAGTATGATTTCCGGCATATCTCTCACTACCCTCAAGAAAACAGGGAGGTAGAAAGAGCTCTGCGGACTGCCAAACATATTCTAAAACAAACAGCTATCTTTGTCTACAGATCAACCCCACTTTAACCTACAGGCATGAGCCCAGCTCAGCTCATCATTGGCAGGCAAATCCTCACTATAGTTCCAACACCGGAGGCCTACAACAACAAGAATAATGTCAGAACTCTACCAGAACTTCAGCCTGGAAACAGTGTGGCTTGAAGCTGAATGATGAGAGTAGCTGGACAAAGTCTGCTTTGGGATTTAAGCAAGGAGACACGCCAAGGCCGAGTCACGCCGATTCTAGACAGAGGAGGTAGTGTGCAGAAACTGTCGCCGTCTGAGACCTCTCCCCAGCCCTTCAGAGACTTTCCAGGAGGGAGGGGATGGATATATGGTAAACGATGGAGGATTGACCTGAAAGATTACTATATCCCTGTCTTTCCCTATGGCTGTCTCACGAACAAAGACCTGCCACAGAGCGATATAATGGCCACATCAGGAATCAGGAATCAGGAAACATTTATTGCCAAAATATGTCAAACATACAAGGAATTTGTCTTGGCGGTTGGTGCGTGACAGTAGACAGAGTAACAATAGACAACAAGACAGTAGTGCACAAGTAATAAAATAAAATGAAATGCTAATTCTATGGGTTAGTAGAATAAGGCTATGGGTTAGTATAAAATAAGAATAAAGTTAGTTAAAAACTAAAAATATTAAAAAAGTTTAAAAAAAAGTTAAAAAAAATAAAGTGCACTATCGAACAAGTGACAAAGTGACGAGTGACGACAAAGTGACGAGTGAGAAATTACAGTTAAAGTGACATGTGCAGTATGAAGGGGAGTGACCAGTGGAATGTCAGACAGTAGGGGACCGGCTCTGTTGATGAGCCCAACTGCCGACGGGAAGAAACTGTTTGTGTGGCGGGAGGTCTTAGTCCTGATGGACCTCAGCCTCCTGCCAGATGGAAGTGGCACAAACAGGTTTTGTCCGGGGTGAGAGGGGTCGGCTATGATCTTTTTAGCTCGCTTCAGAGACCTGGAAGCGAACAAGTCCTGCAGGGACGGCAGATTGCAGCCGATCACCCTCTCTGCAGAGCGGATGACACGCTGCAGCCTGCCCTTTTCCTTGGCTGTGATTGCAGCGTACCAGACGGTGATGGAGGAGCAGAGGATGGACTCGATGATGGCCGTGTAAAAGTGGACCATCATCGTCTTTGGCAGGTTGAATTTCTTCAGCTGCCTCAGGAAGAACAACAACCTCTGCTGAGCCTTCTTGGTGATGGAGCTGATGTTCAGCTCCCACTTAAGGTCCTGGGTGATGATGGAGCCCAGGAAACAGAAGGAATCCACAATAGTGACGGGGGAGTCACACAGGGTGATGGGGGAGGGTGGGGCTCTGTTCCTCCGGAAATCCACAACCATCTCCACTGTCTTTAGAGCGTTGAGCTCCAGGTTGTTCTGACTGCACCAGGACACCAGATGGTCAGACTCCCACCTGTAGGCGGACTCATCCCCACCAGAGGTCAGTCCAATGAGGGTGGTATCATCCGCAAACTTCAGGAGCTTGACGGACTGGTGACTGGAGGTACAGCTGTTGGTGTACAGGGAGAAGAGCAGAGGGGAAAGAACGCAGCCTTGGGGGGAACCGGTGCTGATGGTCCGAGAGGCTGAGACATGTTTCCCCAGCTTCACATGCTGCTTCTGGTCAGACAGGAAGTCTGTAATCCACTTGCAGGTGGAGTCGGGCACGTGCAGCTGGGAGAGTTTGTCCTGCAGCAGAGACGGGATGATGGTGTTGAAGGCAGAGCTGAAGTCCACAAACAGGATCCTGGCGTAGGTTCCTGGGGAGTCCAGAGACTGGAGGATGTAGTGCAGGGCCATGTTGACAGCATCGTCCACAGACCTGTTGGCTCTGTAGGCGAACTGCAGGGGGTCCAGGAGGGGGTCGGTGAGGGACTTCAGGTGGGTCAGGACTAGCCGTTCAAAAGACTTCATGACTACAGAGGTCAGGGCGACGGGCCTGTAGTCATTGAGTCCTGTGATCCTGGGCTTCTTGGAAACAGGGATGATGGTGGAGGCCTTGAAGCAGGCTGGTACGTGGCATGTCTCCAGGAAGGTGTTGAAGATGTCAGTGTGTTTACATGATGGTATAATTCGAATCTTTGCTTAGTCGGACTATGCTATCTTTCGGGGCAAGTGCTATTATCCCAATATACATGACAGTGAATAAATCGAATCATTGGCCGAAAGCATGTCATAAGTCAGGGCTCTGGCTGGGCCACTCAAGGACACTTACAGAGTTGTCCCGAAGCCACTCCTTTGTTATCTTGGCTGTGTGCTTCGGGTCGTTGTCCTGTTGGAAGATGAACCGTCGCCCCAGTCTGAGGTTCAGAGCGCTTTGGAGCAGGTTTTCATCAAGGAGGTCTCTGTACATTGCTGCATTCATCTTTCCCTCAATCCTGACTAGTCTCCCAGTTCCTCCCGCTGAAAAACATCCCCACAGCATGATGCTGCCACCACCATGCTTCACTGTAGGGATGGTATTGGTCAGGTGATGAGCAGTGCCTAGTTTCCTCCAGACATGACGCTTGGCATTCAGGCCAAAGAGTTCAATCTTTGTTTCATCAGACAAGAGAATTTTGTTTCTCATGGTCTGAGAGTCCTCCAGGCGGGCTGTCATGTGCCTTTTACTGAGGAGTGGCTTCCGTCTGGCCACTCAACCGAACAGGCCTGATTTGTGGAGTGCTGCAGAGATGGTTGTCCTTCAGGAAGGTTCTCCTCTCTTCATAGAACAACGCTGGAGAGTGACCATCGGGTTCCTGGTCACATCCCTGACTAAGGACCTTCTCCCCCGATCGCTCAGTCTGGCTGGGCGGCCAACTCTGGGAAGAGTCCTGGTGGTTCCAAACTTCTTCCATTTCCGGATGATGGAGGCCACTGTCCTCATTGGGACTTTCAATGCTGCAGAAATCTTTCTGTACCCTTCGCCAGATCTGTGACTCGATACAATTCTGTCTCAGAGGTCTACAGATTCCTTGGACTTCATGGCTTGGTTTATGCTCTGATATGCACTGTCAACTGTGATACCTTATATAGACAGGTGTGTGCCTTTCTCAATCATGTCCAATCAACTGAATTTAGCACAGATGGACTCCAATCAAGTTGTAGAAACATCTCAAGGATGATCAGTGGAAACAGGATGCACCTGAGCTAAATTTTGAGTGTCATGGCAAAGGCTGTGAATGCTTATGTACATGTTATGTTTTCGTTCTTTATTTTTAACAGATTTGCAAAAAATTGCAAAAAAATGTTTTCACTTTGTCATTATGGGTTGTTGTGTGTAGAATGTTGAGGAAAATAATGAATTTAATCCATTTTGGAATAAGGCTGTAACATAACAAAATGTGGAAAAAGTGAAGCACTGTGAATACTTTCCGGATGTACTGTGCTCAGAAGGGACTGTAGGCAAGAACCTGTACCAGAGGACAAGGAGGAGGCATGCATTTCAGTTGGTAGGAATAGATATATCTGGCAGCAATAGAA